AAACATTTAACAAGGACCTGGCTTGTGACCTGCTTTGACCCTCTGGGCTTTGACATGCGCCCTCCTGCCTGCTATAGCATACTCTGCCCCTGCTGCACCCTCTTTCCCTGCTCCAAACCTCAGCACTAATGAGGGAGATATTTATGACACAGAAAACAGCACAATAAATATTGCACCTTATAATGTGCCTGCAGCCAGTCGTATTCATTTTGGAGATATGAATGTGGCTGTACAGAAATAAACAGTTGTTTCTTGTTTGATTTGTTAAGGAACTTTGACAAGCTATAAGTAAAAAAAGGGGGGGGAGAGATACCAACCTTTCACATATACAGTGGTACCTTGGTTCCCAAACAAATCGGCTCCCGAATGCCACAAACCCGGAAGTGTTCTGGTTTGCAAACGTTTTTTGGAAGCCAGGTGTCTGTTTCGGCTGTCGGCATTGTTTGTGGGGCCAATCAGAAGCAGCGCCTTGGTTTGTGAACATTTTGGATGTCGAACGGACTTCCAGAACAGATTGAGTTTGAGAACCAAGGTACCACTGCATTACAACAGATACAGTTTGTCAACAGTGTACATTGCTGAAATCTTCAGAGTAAGCAGTTTGATTTGTTGTGTGAAAATCCCAGGGCAGGGGGGTTGGCAGTGGGTGGCAGGCAGGTGGCAAGTGATGGCAGGCAGGTTGTTGTTTTTAGCTTTGCCTTGTGCATACAAACTATAGAATGGCAACAAGTGCAACTGCAGACGTAACATTTCATTAGCAACAATGGTGCATTTCTGAACCATCTCATTCCCCCTAATTGTGGATTCAGGACTGGGACAATCGAGAAAACGAAAGCGAGGTGTGCGAATGCTCGGGTCAATCTTGAGATATCCAGCCCCCCCCCCCAAAAAAAATACATAAGCACAGTCCAGTAATAACTCAGCCTGTTCAGTTCTTTCCAGAAGCTGTAATGTGCTGAGCGTCTGCTGCAAAATAAAGAATCAGAAAATGCAGGGTGGGGAGAAAGAGTGGATTAGTTTGTTTGAACCCCAACAACTCATGGTATCTTCACTCCTATTGGGGCAAGGAGAGGCAGAGAGAATGCGACATGTTGTAACTGATAAAACTGTGATATAACCCTTTTTGAAGGCCCAGACCATAACCAGAGCTGAGCCAAAGGTGGAGCATCTGCTTTGCACACAAAAAGTTCCAGTTTCAATCTCCAGTAGGACTGGGAATTATCGCTTGCTTGAAACTCTGGAGAGCTGCTGCCAGTCAGTGTAGACAATATGGAACGAGAGGGACAAAGGGTGTGACTGGGTCAGCCTCCTATGCTCCTAAACAGGCCCTCAGTTTGCCGCCGTTCTTTCCGCACCTCTGCTCCTTCACCTTGAGCCCCGTCCTACGTTCCCCTTTCCTGAGAGCCAAACCCAAGCGCTGGCGTTATGTTTCAGAGCTGCTAATAGCCAGACTATGAAATCATCCAGAAAATAATCCCTGAGCCATTTGAACAGATCGTGACAAATTTCCTCCATATTTCTAACCCTGGGGTTGGGGTGAGACAGCCTGGGACTAATACCTGCCCAGGTCCCTTTCCCCTGAGCCTCCAGGCGACTGAAGTCGAAGGGGCCCAGAACAGGTCGGGTTCGGGTCCTGAGCAAGGCCTACCTGGAAGGACAGGCCTCATGCGGGATTGATTAGGGGGCAGGAAGTAAAACTTGACATCGCTGACACTTAACACCCTCTCCACATCCTGTCTCCTAGACGATGAGAATAAAGATATTGTATTTTCAGTGGCACTGACATTTTTATACCTTTTAATGAAAGGAGGAAGCTGGCTCCCCGCCCCCCTTCTCCTTTTCTTGGGAAACAGACCTGCGAGGTGGAGAGAATGTGAAGCATGCTTGCAGTGTTTCAGGAAGAAAGGGGTATTTGAGTCGGAAGTTGTATGAGGAAGGGGACTTATTTGTTTTAATAAAGTCAAGCGAATTCCCCCTTTCCCAATGCAGAAGAGGAGAGAGAGAGAGAGAGAGAGAGAGAGAAATAACATGGCTGGAAAATGACATTCACAGAAAGGAAGCCCGATGTTTGCAGTTAATAATATTTTCAGGTGGAGAATGGTACCTCTGGAGGGTGGGGCAGGGAGAGATTTATAGTGGCTGCGGCTTGTAAGACAGCGTTAAGAAATGACATATGTCTTCTGATGTGGTAGCACAAAACAGAATACAGCACAAAGAGTTCTCCGGGTTAGGTAGAATAGAAGCTAATGGAATGGTTTTTCTCTAAGTTAAGCCCCACTCCAAGATGGTCCCCTGCCTTCCTTTAAAACTGTGGTCTACTGACTAGTTAGATCTGGAACAGGTCCTAATTTGGCCCAGGAGGCCATTTTCCACGGACCTCATCCAATTGTGCTGCACCTGGTGACACTGCCGCCACTGACCTCAGTTTTCTCGTTTTACCATTCTAATGAAATTCTCTGCGCTCCACCAAAGTGCATTGCAGAGTTTTGGATAACTTTCATTGGGCCCTCATTGGAAGTGCACAAATCTCAGCCTTCTGGAGAGAGCAGGGTATTTAAGCCAGTGCCTGTGATGGTGATAATAATAATTTTATTATTTGTACCCTGTCCATCTGACTGGGTTGTCCCAGCCACTCTGGGCAGCTTCCAGCATATACAATAACATAATAAAACATTAAACATTAAAAACTTTCCTATACAGGGCTGCCTTCAGTGATGGAGCTGGAGTGCAGTAGGCAAAAGCTGCAGTTCCACTGTGGAGGCAACAGGCAGGGATGATGGGAGTTGCAGATCAACAACAACTGGAAGGCTGCAGGCACCCATTGCTGGCACAGAGCAAGGGTGGGAAACCAGGGATGAGGGTGTTAGAGGGGTCATTTGCTGTCTGTGAGGGAGCTAGGCAGATCTGTCAATTTTGGTGCTCAAATTTTCTCATTTTTCCAATCTTAAATTCAGTTTTCCACATTTCTGGAGACATTTGCATTTTCTTTAAAAAAATCATTAAAATTCATGAATTGATTTCTCCTCATAAACACATTTTTCTATTATATTTAATTTTATTGTATTATATTAATTTTGATTGATATACATTTTTGCAAACAATTTCCCCTAATATAGTGCATTTTTGTATGCTATTTCTACTAATACATGCATTTTTATGCACATTTCCTCCTAACAGATGCATTTTTGTATATATTGTTTGCTTGGAGAACTGCATCTTAAAACTTGTACAAGTGCAACTTTTAAAGTTGTTTCTCTTTTGGTGTTAGTATATTGGCTTGAGAAATGCAAATTCAGAAGAGTTTATTTTCATTAAAATGCAAAGCAAATTTGTCCTCCGTCTCCACTCATTGCCCAACAGCCTGTTGAAAAAAGGACAGAATGTAATTAGGCCAAACCCAGCTAACATGCAACTAATCGGCTGCCTGTGGCCCACAAATGATAGGGCTGGCTAGGAGTGCAAGATGTTGCTGCTTCAGTTGTGTTTTAAGATTCCGGTGACCCTTTGCTAGCTACATTTGGACAGTTGGATGCAGCTCCTCGTCAACTCACATTGGAGACAATCTGTTGGCCATTTAAGTGGTCTCTGGAATGGCTGACTTGGAAGCAAACAACTCCCACCTGCTTGTGAGTGCAGGGGCAATGTGCTGAAATGTCACCCAGGTTCCCATCTGCTTTCCCACATTGTAATCTGCCCATGATTGATGCGTCGGGAAAGAAAAGAGAAGGTGCAAATGAGACCCAGAAGAACAAAAGCAGAGAAATGGTGAGGGGGAGAAAGAGAAGCAAGCTGGAGAGGGGAGAACACAGGTGTGGCAATAAATTCTGTGTCATAAGCACACATGTGGACATTGCATATGTGCAATGGTTTTCTTTCTGCCCCATTGGCATAATATTTTACAGAAGGGGGCAATCTGGCTTACTGGGGGTCAATTGCTCTGCCTGCAATCCAAACGTCTCTCCTGTTGACTTTGACCTTGTGTGATGAGACTCTGCAATACTTAGGCCACCAACAGCCTGATAACCTTACAAATTTCCATTGGTGCAATCTGCCTGAAGGGTAACATATCTGCAACTTGGGGTTTTGTGCCGGAACAGTCATTGGTACGACCAACCCTCAGGGAGCTATAATTTCTAAAGGAGGGAAAACAGGCCTTGAAATCTTACAAGAAAAAGGACATAGTCAATGCCTTAATATCCACAGGCATAAATTGTCTAGCCAGTAGAAAATGAAGGTTTTTCCTCCACCCTCAAAACTTGGAACCTTTTTACTTTTCCTGGGGATATTCTTTAGAAAAGCTTAGCTGCCATCTAGTGGAATATCTATGCAATGCAACAGTGTTCAACGCATACTTTTTAATGGAGTCTTAATGGTGCTGTGGTAAACCTCGTTTGGTGTCATCTGCAAATTTGATGAGCATGCCATCAATACCTTCATCCAAATCATTTATAAAGACATTGAACAACCATGGACCCAGGACAGAACCCTGTGGCACCCCACTTGCCCCTTTTTTTCCAGGATGATGAAGAACTCTTCGGGTTTGGTCAGTCAACTATATACGGTACAAATCCACCTAATAATAACATTGTGTAGCCCACATTTTACCAGCTTCTCTGCAAGAATATAATGGGGGGCTTTTTTGACATCCTTACTGAAATCAAGAAACAGTACGCCCACAGCATTCCCCAGATCCACCAACCTTGTAACTTTTTTTAAAAAAGAAAAGAAAAAATTGGTCTAGTATGACTTGTTTTTGGGAAACCCATGCTGGCTCTTAGTACAGTGGTACCTCGGGTTAAGCACTTTATTCGTTCTGGAGGTCCGTTCTTAACCTGAAACTGTTCTTAACCTGAAGCACCACTTTAGCTAATGGGGCTTCCCGTTGCCGCCACGTTGCTGCTGCACTATTTCTGTTCTCATCCTGAAGCAATTTTCTTAACTTGAGGTACTATTTCTGGGTTAGCGGAGTCTGTAACCTGAAGCGTCTGTAACCTGAAGCTTCTGTAACCCGAGGTACCACTGTAATCACAGCATCCTTTTCTAAGTGCTCATAAGATCACTGTTTAATGATCTGTTTTAGGACCTTTTCTGGCATCAACATCAAGCTGAATGGTAGGTCCTCCTTTTTCCCCTTTCTGAATATGGGGACATCGGCCTGCCTCCAGTGCAAGGACCTCAGCCCCGGGGTGGCAGGTTTTAGACCACTTTGTTGGTCAGGTTTAGGCTATTTCCCTCCTACCCACCCCGTCCTGAAGCGTGGGAGATTGTCAAAGAAGAAGGCCCCAAACAAGATGGCGGGCGCGGGCAGTCGGCCAACCCTCATTTAGGATGTCGGCGCCGACTTCAGCATCAAGATAGCGCTGCTTCCGCCCTTTCTGCTCCCCGCTTCCGGTCCCAGAGCCTCTCCGAAGATGGCGTCTACGCCTTCAGCGTCAATATGGCGCCGCTCCCACTCGCTCACATTGCCTCTCCAAAGAAGCCCCTCGCGACTGGCACCTCATCCAGATGGCGCTGCTTCCGCCCTTCCTCCTAGTCCGGCCTCCTCTTCGCCCGCACAGCCTCTTTCAAGATGGCGCTGCTTCCGCCCTTACATCTCCCCTATCTGCCTTTCCCCCTGCAGAGCCTCTACCCAAGTGGCAGCTGCGGACGAGGCAAACTGTAGCTCCTCGGGTACCGTAGAGCATGTGCAGAAGGCGCCACACACACCGGGAGCTCACAAGGAGCTCAGAAAGGAAGAAAGAGTCCAGCCATGCCTTGTCTTCACGCACCCCCACCCCCACTTTCCCAGGCTGCTCAGATCGTGACACTTCACAGAACTGCTTTTGCAGCTTTTGGAATAAATGCACTTGTATCCAGTTCCTGTCTTGCTCTCTTCCCTGCCCCTCCGTGCTTTAAGAACATAAAAATAGCGCTAGTATATGGAGCCCATGCAGTCCTGTATCCTCATAGTGGCCAGATTCCCCAATGGGAAGCACACAAGCAGTACCTGAGCACAAGAGCGAAACTCTCCTCCTGAGGCTTCCCAGAACTGGTATAAAGAAGCATCGCTGCCTCCAAAATAGTGGCTAATAGCCATCAATAGCCCTCTCCTCCATGAATTTGTCTAATCCTCTTCTAAAGCCATCTAGGTTGATGGCCATCACTGCCTCCTGGTGGAGTGAGTGCCATGGTTTTAACTGCTGCGTGAAGAAGAACTTTGAGGTCCTGGGAAGATAACGGTGGTATATAATCTTTACATATTTACGTAAAGATGCGTATCTACGTAAATATAAATGTAATAAATAATAATCAGCAAAACCAAATAAGAGTATTATGTTGCCTTAAAGTCTTAAGAAACATATTTTGCAATAAGTGTTTGCGGATTATGGTCCACTTCGTAGAATTATAGAGTTGGAATAAGTCCAAAAAGTCATCTAGTCCAACCCCCTGCAGTGCAGGAATCACTTTGTTGGGTGTGTGAAGCGCAGTTATGAGTCACGGTGGGATGGAATTGTCAAGTGAGGTCAAGTGGAAATGAAATGCAAAAAATAATAATACAGACAATGAGAATTACCTTATTAACACCACCATTTTAGAAGGATGTTGACAAGATGGAATGTGTGCAGAGGAGGGAGACCAAGATGATCAGGGGTCTGGAAACCAAGCCTTATGAGGGAGAATTGAGAGAATTGGGTATGTCTGCCCTGGCAAAGAGGAGACTGAGAAGAGAGATGATAGCTATATTCAAAGATCCAAAGGGTTGTCACATGGAAGATGGAATTTCTGTGAGCTGACAAATGATGGACAATTGCCTTTTTTGCAGTGATGGTGCTTTCTAAGCCTGCTTAGAAGTGGTGCTTGCAGGAAATAAGAGGAAGGCTCTAGTACCAGCCAAAGGTCTCTCACAATCAAAGAGTCCTGAAACCTACACACACAAAGTCCAAAGTAATTTGAATTTCCCCCCTCCATATGTGGAATTAAATCCAGAGGTGCTCCATCAATTCGCCCTGTCCTGACACTGAATGGTGAACAGGAAGATACTGGCCTAAAGCGGATTCCTAATTTCTCTTTTTCGATAAGGGCAAATACCTCCCCTTTCACAGAATCGTAAAGTTGGAAGGTACCCAAGGGTCATCTAGTCCAACTCCCTGCAAAGCAGGGATCACTGCTAAAGAATCCCTGACAAATTATTATCCAGCCTCTTTAAAAACCTCCAACGGAGGAGAGTCCACCCACCACCATTTTGTCATATGACGAATGTGCTTTCCACTCTGGAGGGCAAAGGAATCCCCACAGAATCTGATCTCTTCAAGAAACTGGGCAGATGCTGTCCCATTCATCTGACTCCTGGAGCACTTTCTTCTGCATATCACCGCTGGCAATATTGACTGCAAATCCCCTGGCGAAGTCAAGGAAGACCTCCGAATTGTTCTAGGGCAAAAAAGAAGGGGGTGCAAGAGAGCATGAACGTGGACCCTTTTGCTTGCAGTCAAAGTTTCTAGTCCCTGCCACTTTGGACAAACGGGGAGCCTGCTCAAGTGTCCTTGTACATCTTTTAAGAACCCCCCCAAGGCCTAAATGTCAGGTGCTGCTGTGGACGGTTAACAAGACAAAGCTCTTCCCTTGCGTATCCTGCAGAGATGGCTTGTTTTTCTGAAGACACTGCTTGAGCTTCTCCTGGAAGGAGGTGGTGGTGATGGTGTAGAGGATCGGGTTCAGAGCGCTGTTGATGGGGAGGATGAAGATGACCACCCAAGAGGTCACAGTGCCTGTCCAGAAAGAGGAGTTTATATTAATATAATCACCCGCCTTGCACCCTGTGGTCCCAGGGAGTCTCACAACATTACAACAAAACATTAAAAACAGCTTACAAACAGAAGGTGGGTCTTAAAATGTGCACCTCAAATGTCAAAGTCCAGGGTAAAGAAGTGTGTTTTCAGCATCCTCCAAAAGCTGTACGATGAAGGTGCCAGGTACACCTCTGGGAGAAGGGAATTGCACAGATTAGGGGCTGCCACAAAGAAGACTCTCTCCTGGACTGCCACCTCCTGAGCCTTTAAGGGTGGAGAAGCTAGCAAGAGAGCCTCCTCTGCTGATCTCAGCACCCGAGAGGATCTGTAGGGAAGGATGTGGCCTTTCAGGTATTTGGGGCTTGAGTCGTTTAGGGCTTTGAACACTTAACTGTCCTCCGACTAAACATTAGGAAGAACTTCCTGACAGAGATGTGGAACAGACTCCCTTGGAAGTTGATGGACTCTTTCATTGGAAGTTTTTAAGCAGAGGCTGGGTGGCCATCTTTCAGGGATTCTATAGCTGCAGTTCTTGCATTGCAGGGGGCTGGACTAGATGACCCATGGGGTCCTTTCCCACTTACAACTCTATGCTTCTAAGATGAGTAAGGTCAAGGCATCTACCTGGAATGTCCAGGTCCAGCAACGAAAGCAGCTTGAGGAGGAAGATGGGGATCCAGCAAAGAGCATTGGTGAAAACAATGAAGAAGAATCTCTTGGCTAGGGCCACCTCCACAGAGACAGCGCTGCGCTCGCCTGTCCTGGCTGCTGTGGTGTGGATGGAGTAGAACATGCTCGCGTAGGCCAGCACAATGATGGCAAAGGCAACCAGGTTCAGACCTGTTGGGCAGAAGGGATAAGTCTTAATAGGCTCTGAATTCTGCAGACGCCACTCAGGGCTACTAAAGTTGAAACATGTTTTAAATCTGGGAGCACGTTGACTGACATCTGACTTGTAAAAAAAAAACCTTTGCTTTCATAAACATGTAACTGTGAAGAATATTTTTACAATATTCTCATTCGTATTCACTTTGTTCCTTATAGAGAGCTCCTGCCAGGTTTTTCCCTATTAATGTTTAGGGATCTTCCTCTGTCTGTTTCACATCAGACAGATCACACTGAAACACACATTGTCCTCAGCAGTATCCAGAGAAACTTCTCTCGGCAACCATTCTCTCTCAAACACGTAGAGAGAGAAGACAGTTAAAAACGAGAGTTACTTGAATAACAGTCACAACAGAATGGAATAGCTCTCTCACATGACTCACAGCCAGGCAATCACATGAGAGCTACTGCCAAAGGAAATTTAACGTAAGTAAACATCCCCATTTCAGGAAATTCAACCATTATCCTTAACAAAACTGGCATCCAACACAGCAGCATAGGCACCCCCCACCCCTCCCTCCAAATCTGTAAAGCTCTCCAGCTGAGTGAGAGGTGCTTACCCAAGAATATCCCCGTGGAATAAACCCGAGCCCCGTGGCGCTCTGTCCCGTCGGACTGGAGCGGAAAGCACACGCCGTTCCTCCCGTAATATGTCCCGAAGGACTCCTTGCACAGAAAGGGCACCAGAGTCAGGGAGAAGCCCAGGAGCCAGATGACCGCCAGGGTGGAGAGAGTCCGCTTCTTGCTGGCCCTGTGGTGGCTGAAGGGGAAGACGACAGAGAAGGATTTCTCCAGGGTCATGTAGGTCAGCTGGAACACCGAGACTTCGGAGGAGAGCATGGCCAGGCTGCCAACCAGCTGGCATGCTGTACTCGCCATCCAGGCTTGCGCGTGCTGGTTGTACTCTCCCGAGAACCTGAGGTCAAAAGCTCCAAGGAAGAAGAGGTAGATGCCCATCAGGCAGTCGGCACCTGCGGGAGAGGCAAGGAGGAGACGGTCGGGTGCCTGTCAAACTACCCCTGCCCTGCTCTTCTTCAGCCTGATCTTAGCTCACAGAGTTGCAGCCAGCTGGACTAGATGACACTTCAACACTTGACTTCCCCTCTCCAGCCCTTCCAAGCTTACAGCAGAGAGATTTGATGGCCAATGCGTGGTTGCTGTTTTCCGTGGTGATGAAGGACCTGGTGAGGATGACAAAGAGGTTCCCCAAGCAGGTGATGAAGGCGACGACCCAGACAAAGACTCGGAGGACGCCGCTGGCCAGGAGGTTCTCAAAGGAGGAGATGCCGTCGGTGTTGGGCTTGCAGCTACGGACGTGGGGTGCAAAACTGCAATACTGGAACTTCTTGAAGTAGCTGCCGCGGAGGAGGAGATTTAGAGTTGAGAGGGTGGGAGGTAGTCTTCTCACCCAATGCAAATATTATTATTGGTGGTGGTGGTGTTACTAATTGCATTTATTAATTGCAGCTAGAAGATTGAATTCACCTGGCCTCAACCATGCAAGAAACACTTTCGTGAGAATTCCCTTGCTGGTCAGCACTTAATGATGAGAAGCTGCGATTCCCTGGGGGTACCTTCCAACCACAATTCTTTGAGAAAACTTCCTGGTTTCTGATGAAGTTTGGGGTAACTAACCCCTGCCTCATTCCTACCTATACACATTTCTTTCCTTCTCCTAATGATATGAGGGCTGGAGCAAAGTATCTCATGACTCAAGTTTCTTCTATCTCTTGATGCACAATGGAAGAAGACACACACACACACATACCCTCTCCCTAAACCCTAGGGTTAAGTTTGCATGAAAAATAAGTGGCAAAAAAACCCCCTCTTGCCTAAGCTCCACCCACTAGGAATGCTTGCTGTTCCCTATGCTGCAGGTGGCATGGCCACTGTGAACTGAAGCTCTTGATGACACCTTGTGTTTCTATGCATATAGGAAGATTGTCATGGAACTTCACAGGGAATTGCCATGGAGTCACTGTATGTTTTATTTTTTAGTTTACTTGTACGTCCAGGTCATTGGGCCCCAAAGTTTACATTTTCACCCCTGTTAGGGATGGTGCCAGCAGTAAATAATGAGCAAAATGGGGGTGATGTGGAGGGCTCCCCTACTCTGAAGTAAAGTGAAATTGGGTAAGTCCTGCAGTCTGCCCTGCCCATGCCCCACTCAGAAAATTGCAACTACTACTAGCTTATTTTGTAGGGAGCGCCTGCCCTGTGTCAGGGGGCTGCCCCACACTGCGTTTTGAAGCTCTGAAAGGGTGGCTTACATGTGATGCAGATCGGTGAGCTTCTCAAACATGCGGCTGTGAATGTTGGGGATCTCCAGTCCTTCCAAGCTCCTACAAAATGAACAGCAACAACAAAGGTGAGCTGGCTCTTGCAAGGAAGGATTTAAGGAGGTTTGCATCAGCAGGAAAACCAACCAATCAGGGTTTTGCTGCTTGGGACACTTACAGAGAGCGCAGGAGAGGGACATCGTCAAATTCATCTGGATAGATCTGGTGCAGAGGGTTATTTGAAATATTCCTGCAAGGAGGGGAAAGGCATAGATTGGTGGGTGATGCCTTTGAAAGGAATCTGCTTAATAAACATAATTTATAAAAACACAAATTTCAGAAGTTGCATTTGATATTTTGAAAACTTTGACGTTTCGTTTCTGTGCACCTTTAAGTTATTCTTGCTAATGAATTTTAAGGCAGTAACATTAAGCATCTGATGCCTTGCAGACAGATGGTTTTGCAAACTGCTTTGAGGTTTTATTACAGTCAACGATTCCAACATTCCAAGGCGTTCAGCTAGATGACCCTTCCAGCTCTACTGTTCTATGATGCTACTGCCCTGTCCATCATCAAACCTTTGTTTTTTTACATTGTTTTCATATAGAAGCATCGCGCTGCAGAGCTGGAAGGGACCCCATGGGTCATCTAGTCCAACCCGTTGCAATGCAGGAATCACAGCTAAAGGATCCCTGGGAGCAGCTCCCCAACCTCCACTTAAAAATCTTCAAGATACATACAGCTGCTGCAATTCATGCAGACCCTTGAAAGATGACGGCAGGAGATCCTTCAGCCTGTTGGAGGACAAGTCACTGTTGGAAGAGAAGAAAGGAAAGTTTGAGAAGAGCTAATTCATGGAAAGCCAGTCAGCGTACCACATTTTTTTACTGCTGCACCTGATACTAATATATAGGTCAGTATGGTGTAGTAGGGACGCGGGTGGCGCTGTGGGTAAAAGCCTCAGCGCCTAGGGCTTGCCGATCGAAAGGTCGGCGGTTCGAATCCCCGCGGCGGGGTGCGCTCCCGTCGTTCGGTCCCAGCGCCTGCCAACCTAGCAGTTCGAAAGCACCCCCGGGTGCAAGTAGATAAATAGGGACCGCTTACAAGCGGGAAGGTAAACGGCGTTTCCGTGTGCGGCTCTGGCTCGCCAGAGCAGCGATGTCACGCTGGCCACGTGACCCGGAAGTGTCTCCGGACAGCGCTGGCCCACGGCCTATAGAGTGAGATGGGCGCACAACCCTAGAGTCTGGCAAGACTAGCCCGTACGGGCAGGGGTACCTTTACCTTTACCTTTATGGTGTAGTAGTTAGAGAGCTGGGCTATGACTAGGGAAACCCAAGTTCAAATCCCCACTCAGACATGAAGCTCACTGGGTGACCTGGGGCCAGTCATACTGGGGCTTCTTGGTGGTGGCTCCAGGGAAACCAATATTTCATCTCCATGGTAAGCAGCATGCATCTTGCAGGTAAGGTCTGTTGCATTCAGTACTTTATTTCCTGAGAAGTGGAACGGCCTGGAGGTTCCACATTTGAAAGGATGGAGACTTTGGTTGCCATCATTTTGGTTTTGGAAAAAGCAGCTCAGCAGAGGCTGACCGCTGCAGGAAGGGCAGATTCCCCACTCAGACATAAAGGGTCATTGAGAGCAGCAGGGCTGGAGACAAAGACCATGTTTACACCATCCATTTAAAGCGCTGCGATACCACTTTAAACAGTTATGGCTTCCCCCCTCAAAGAATTCTGGGAGCTGTAGTTTGTTAAGTGTGCTGGGAGTTGTAAAGAGTCCCACCCCATTCCCCTTCTAGAGAGGTTTAGCAATCCCATGGATGGATTGCATTTCTATCCCAGTTTTTTCTCTCCAAGGAGGTGGTGGCCTTGGTTGTCCTGCCCCTCATTTAATCTCCACAACAACCTTGCGTAGGTCAGGCGAATATCAGCAGAAACCAGCCCACAAGAATACACCCCATGAGCTTTATGGCTAAGCAGACATTTGAACCATGTTCTCCCAGGTCCTAGTCTGACACTCTAAGCACTACACTGCCCTGCCTCTCTTCCCAGGGAACTCTGGGAACTGTAATTCTGTGATGGGACTAGGGAATCTCCTAACAACTCTCAGCCAGAAGATGTAAGTGGGCAGCAGAGAGAGGGCAATGTAGAAATGTCAAAATAAATGAATCCAAATCAACCTTTTCCGGTTAGGTAACATGGAGCAGGTGTCAGTGGGAAGCACCACTTGGATTTTCTCCCTCCAGCAACAAACCATGCTGGCTAGGCAGGCCTGGCCAGTTATCGTGAAGGCCTGCCGGATACACTTACAGTTCCACCAGGCTGTTGAGGTTGGAAAAAGTCCCTGCCTGGATCCGCTCAATCTTATTCCTGTTCAGCACCCTGGAAGACAAAGGCAAGCAAAGATGAGCATAGGTTCATCATGTGTTATTCTCCCCCCCCACACACACACTTTCTTTCTTTTTTAAAAAAGGTTATATTATCCATTCATTCCCATTTATATACAGTGGTACCTCGCAAGACGGAAAACTCGCAAGACGAAAGGGTTTTTGGTTTTTTGAGCTGCTTCGCAAGACGATTTTCCCCATGGGCTTGCTTCGCAAGACGGAAACGTCTTGCAAGTTTGTTTTCTTTTTCTTAACACCGTTAATACAGTTGCGACTTGACTTCGAGGAGCAACTCATAGCACACGGTATGGTAGCCTTTTTTGAGGTTTTTGAAGACTTTGGTGATTTTTGAAGCTTTTCCAAAACTTTTCCGACACCGTGCTTCAGAAGACGAAAAAAACCACAAGACAAAAAAACTCGCAGAATGAATTAATTTCGTCTTGCGAGGCACCACTGTACCACCTTTCCTTCAAGTCGCTCAAAGTGTTGTTCTCCCCTTCTCCTCAGTTAACCCCCACAACAACCCTGTGAGGTAGGATAGGCTGAGATGCAGTGGCCAAGTGGAGTTGTCCTAGCCCAACACTCTAACCACTACACCACACTGCCACCCTCAGTCTCGCCACCCTCACAAGGACAACTGGCACACATGGTTCTTGGCCTCCTCATTTAATCCCCACAACAGCCACGTGAGGCAAAGAGTGATCTTGTGCTCAGGTTGGGGTATCCCCATGGGGTCATTTGGCTGGCCTCTGTGGGAGAAAAGGATGTTGGGCTAGATGGACCATTGACCTGATCCATCGGGGCTCTTCTGGTGCTTGCATGGAACCTCCAGACCCAGAAGCAGTCTATCTGGATTCCTAGAATGTTGGCTACCTTGAGAACAGGATGTTGGGTAAATTGGGCCACTTGCCTGACCCAGCAGAGCTCTTCTCATGTGTGGCTCAGAGGAGCCTCTCACAGGGAGGAAAGCCTCTCTCTTGCATCCTGGCTCCTTTGGGATTTAGCCTTCAGCAGTGAAGACAATGAGGAGATGGAGGGGGCAAGAGCTACATCATTCCCTGGTTCACACAGAAGGTCTTCGTCTGCTTCATCTCCCCTATAAAACTGTCACTGGGGCAGGGTCAATGGCAGGGGGTGTTTACTTCCCTGTGTTTATCTTTCTGTGATGTTGACATGAGAAGGTCTTGGGGATCACATTCCTGGGCAAAGCCACAGATGATGGAGACGTCACGCTGATGGGAAGTCTGATGGCACAGAGACTCTGGGTTCCATGAGCCCAATTATACCTTGGGGAGCTCTTGCTGAAACCCTCACCTGAGGCGGGGGGGGCGGAGGGGAAACGGTGCTTTGCGGAGCAAGCTTGTTTTCTGCTGCTCCAGAGAGGAGGCGCCGAGCCAATGGATTCAAAGGACAAGAAAGGAGAGTCCGACTAAGCCTTAGGAAGGACTCTCTGACAGTAAGAGCTGTTTGACAGTGGGACAGATTCCCTCTGAAGGTGGTGGACTTTCCTTCCTTGGAGGGTTTTAAACAGAGGTTGAATGGCCACCCATCAGAGATTCTTCAGCCACGATTCCCGCATTGCAGGGGGTTGGACTGGATGACCCTGGGGGTGCCTTCAAACTCTACAGTTCTATGATTCTGTTAATCCAGTGGTTCTCAAAGGATGTGGTGCACCATACTGGTGTGGCAGGAGAGGATGGTAAGTGTGGCAGGAAGATTCAAGGGCCATCAATATTATATTTTGGGAATGATTCATGTTCTTATGTAGCTGCATTGTTTTATACTTCCTGGATGTCCCACGATCATATTATATGTGTTCTATTTTTGTTTTCCAATGTATTTCTTGTCAATAAAAAAAATAATTGGTGGGGCATGAGCAATTTTTTATTCTGAAAGTGTGGCCCGTGAAACAAAACGTTTGAGAACCACTGTATTAATCTGTCCGTTTGGGTCCTACACTCTGCAGCTGCAGAAAACAGGCTTGCTCCATCTTCCATGGGGTATTTGAAGGTGGCTCTCATATCACCTCTCCATCAACTCTTCTCCAAGCTAAACATGTGCAATTCCATCAACCATTCCTCATAAGACTTGGTTCCCAGACCCTTGATCCCCTCAATCGCCCTCCTCATTTTGCTGATATCCCACAGGGAAGTGGACAGAGCTCAGATTCAGAGCCAGAAGGCCTAATCCTGTCCCTGCCTACATGGATTTCACATTCTCTGCACGGAACAAAAAGAGACTGGTTCAAGTGTGGCCAACGACTTGCTAAGGCTGGCTCACCCTCTTTGAATATCCATAGAAGCAAGTCAAGAGCTGTGTTTCTTTTGACTCTTGAGAGCTGGACATGCGGAACTGGACATTCCAAGGCTGCCTTTCGTTCCCCCGTCTTGGGGGAATTTGTCATGTGTACCGGGATGATATACACAATGCAAGGCAAGTGGATTGAATCCTCTCCAAGGGAGGCAACAAAACTGTCACACTTCAGAAAAGTGGAATGTGGGTCAGCCCTGCACGTTCTTGCAGAAGAAACTCTTGGATTCGTCATGGATGAGAAAAAAGGAGCTGAGCTTGAATCCTGGCAGGATGGAGACCCTGTGGATGAGCTGTTCCCATGTCTGAGAGATTGCTACGTTGCCTGCCCTGAATGCAGTGGCACTCCCCCTGAAGGAGCAGGCTCGCAGTTTGGGGGTGCTTCTGTATCCAACTCTGTCACGGGAGGTTCAGGTAGCAGACCCTCCAAGTGTCCATATTTTCCAGGGACAGTCCCAGATTTACAGAAGCCATCCCGGTTTCTGATTTGATCCCATGCTATGTACTGAGTTGAATAGGATCCAAATTGCAGCAGTCTGATTGGTCCTAGAACAATAGGATCCAGAATGCAGCAGTCTGATTGGTCCGCAGGAGCCACCCAATCTAACTCCAGGTGGAAGTGAATCTGCAACCTGATTGGCACAGGAGAATCCCATAATGAGCCAATCACGTGGGGCCCATTGTGTAAATAATGCATATAAAGCAGACATTTCAGAGGAACTTCCATTCCTCACTACTATGAGCTGAATAAAGAGCATGAAATCCACACTCGACTCCGAGTATATTTCATCCCGGAATGTCCTGCTTTTCTTTAGGATGCCTCTATTCTCAACAAAGAAATACTGGAGGGTATGACTGAGTTATGTGATCCCTTCCAGCTCTACCATTCCTTGATTCTATTATTCTAATCGTTTGGGATCCCAACAGATTGCGATTTGTGTGGCTAAGGCTGTGTGCATGAAAAACAAAGAGAATTACGAGGGGAAGGAAGGAAGACAGTTACACTCACAGAACAGTGACTTCATTGCATCCTCGGAAGCTGGAACTTTGCAGAGTGTGAAGCTGGTTCCCCTCAAGATCCCTGGATGGTGGAGAAAGCAAGCAGTGAATTTTTTTTAATCCTGGGAACTGTAGTTTGTTAAGGGCACTAGGAGACCCCTCAGAGAGCTGCAGGTGGTTTATCCATCGTAGAATCATAGAACTGATGTAGTCCAACCCCCTGCACATCGATCCCTCTCGCCTTCTGGGAATTGTAGCTCCACGAGGGAAGAGGGATCTCTTAGTGACTCTCAGCAACATTAACAAACTACACTTCCCAGGATTCTTTGAGGGAATCCATGACCACAGAGTGCTTTAAATATATAATGTAGATGGGGCCACCACCAGAAAACCATCCTTGCCTTTGTAAAAGGATTTGAACAATCCCGAGGCTTTCTATTTGATGTTGCCTATCCCAGCCCTTCTCTGCACCCAGCCAGGGTGCCAAGGCCTGACCCCTCCATCCACAACCAGCCAAACCCTCCACAGTCTTCAAAAAGGAGGCTGAGACGGGTGACCCTCCTCTACGTGGGTGCGGGCAGACAACAGCAGCACGTCCCTCTGCCTGCCGTCTCTCCTTAAACAGGGCCTGCTGCCCCCTTCTCCAATCCCACCCACCCTCTAGCCAAAGCAGCTCTCCAGAGCAGAGCTGAACGCAGAGGATGGCTGAACCTTGCCCAAATCAGATGGGCCCCTCCCGGTCTTCTGTTCCCAAAATCCAAAGAGGGGGAACTCACAACCAGTTCAGCTTTGGCATTTCTGAACAAATCGACGTGTTGGGGAGGCCTCTCAGGAGGTTGTTGTGCAGGTCCCTGGAATGGAAGGACAAAGGGATCAATGGTGATGGACAATGTATGGACAACATACTGGGAGCCAGTGTAGGTCCAGATGGCCACCTGTCAGGGATTCATTGTAAGGGGGTTGGAGAAGGAAGCCCAGCCAAAGCCAAGCTTTCAGCACCACAATTCTATGGCTCTATAGTCCGAGTGTAACTTAATATTCTGCCTGTATTTGCTTGCTGTGAATTAAAGACTGTGAGTGCCTCCGACTGAAAACACATGCAGATTTCATTTAAGCATGACATCATTCCCAGGACAGAATCTGGAGCAGAAGATGTGCAAGCAAGACTTCAGTACCCCCTTCCCTCCCCGCCCCCCCATAAACTCCATACTTACAGAAATAGAAGCGATTTCAGCCCCTCAAAAGCAGTTGCAAGGATTTCAGTTATGTTGTTGTTCTCCAGGATTCTAGGGTGGGGCGAAATAGAGATCATAGTATGATGAGCTTACTGATATAGCTCCATCCAGCATGAGACATTTAATCTCAGGGTCGAGGGTTTGAGCCCCACATGGGGCAAAAGATTCCTGCATGGCGGGGGGGTGGACTAGGGGACTCTCGTGGTCCCTTCCAACTCCACAGTTCTATGATTCTATGTACTTACAGCCATTTGAGATGAAACAAGTTGTGGAAGATGCGAGGCTTCAGATGAGTGATGTTGTTGGAATTGAGATACCTGGAATGACAAGGGAAGGGTTGGGTTTGTTCTGGATAATACAGTCAAGGTTCAGGCTTCCTAACTCCTATGGGGAATAGACAACAGAGGTCTCTTTCCGGCATTCTGGTTTTACAGGTCTATGCCTGATCTGGGGGGGAGGTCATTATTTGTACTGGAAAACAACCACACCTGGTACCTGGAAGGAACCTGGTGGGAGAAGCAGATGGGGAAAGGGGAAGGATCTGCTGAGGTGTGGGGCTGGGCTCTCAGTGGGGTGAGGGGTAAAGAAGCAGAGCTCTGCATACAGCAAGGAAGGGGCCACACGAGGGCAAAGCTCTCTTTGCCCCAGACAAAGCAGGTGTAGAGCCTCCTACCTCCAAGCCATCCATAGACAATACGAAGTCATAGGCAGCCCTGTTTAGGGAAGTTTTTAATATTTAATGCTGTATTGTTTTTAACACTCAACTGGGAGCTGCCCTGGGACGTGGGTGGCACTGTGGGTTAAACCACAGAGCCTAGGACTTGCCGATCAGAAGGTCGGCAGTTCGAATCCCCACGACAGGGTGAGCTCCCATTGCTCGGTCCCAGCTCCTGCCAACCTAGCAGTTCGAAAGCACATCAAAGTGCAAGTAGATAAATAGGTACCGCTCCGGTGGGAAGGTAAACGGCGTTTCCATGCGCTGCTCTGGTTCACCAGATGCGGCTTAGTCATGCTGGCCCCATGACCCGGAAGCTGTACGCCGGCTCCCTCGGCCAATAAAGCGAGATGAGCGCCGCAACCCCAGAGTCGGCCACGACTGGATCTAATGGTCAGGGGTCCCTTTACCTTTACCTTGGGAGCCGCCCAGAGTGGCTGGGGAAACTCAGCCAGATGGGCAGGGTATAAATAATAAATTATTATTATTATTATTATTATTATTATTATTATTATTATTATTATTATCTCTCTGTGTGTGTCCTCCTGCACCTGTTCTTCCCTCTCCAAGCCTGCTGCTTCTCCTGCCTCTGCCTCTTGTCTCCTGGCTGTTACTGGATCCCCCAGATCACTGATTCCATCTTCCACATCAGTCCCCAATGCCACTTCTTCCAGACACCACTCCTGTGTCCAGCCAGTCCCTGACACCCTGTTAACCTACTGGAATGTGTAAAGCTGGGGTTGGCAAGGTGATTCCCTGCCTGCCCCGCCCCGCCCCCCGCAGAAGTCTTTCGTTCCTTTTTGCATGACCTGCCTGATCCCATGCAGCAAAACCAAAGCTCATCACTCACAGCTTCTTGAGCTTGACAAGCCCAGCAAATGCAGAGGCGGATATTGACTGAATCCTGTTATCTTGTAAGAAGCTGTTTGGAAAGAAAATTATACAAAAGAGAGATATCCTCAGGATTAATATTGTATCCAGGGTATTCCTGCCCCCCTCCCACCAGAACCTGGGAAATCAATCATGGAATCGTAGAATTGTGGCATCGGAAGCCACCCCAAGAGTCTTGCAGTCCAACCCCCTGCAATGCAATGATCGCAAAGGCCAGCGTTCGTTGCTGGATTAGTTGGATTTTACACCTGAGGGTTCCACATTGGCTCAGGAACATTTAATTCCAGGCTGGAGACATTTCATTGTTGTTGTTGCTGTTGTTGTTTTAGAAAAGAACACTATGAAAACAGAGGGTTCTAAAATGCAGATTTTTAAAGGCTGGTATCAAATCCCCTGCATAGGCCGTGCAGTTCATACAATTATTGGACTGCAGAGTTGGAAGGGTCCAAAGGGTCATCTAGTCCAACCCCCCTGCAAGTTGCAGAAATGTAGGGATTGGGTATCATACTTACAGTAACTCCAGTTGCTCATAGGCAATGAACTGATAGTCCAGCAGGGAAACGATCTCATTATTCTTCAGATCTCTAGGAAAAATAGAACAAAAAGTGACTCCAGCAGCTGCGAAGGTGGTTTCACACATTACACAGCAACAAACCCAAGTTTGCAAATGAATGTATGTGCACCACAGAGGCATGGTCAATCCTGGCCCTCTGATGAGGGCACCTGTATGAAACAGGTGTCTATAAACACCTGTTGGATGGATTCACACTTTAGGTGTAGACCTAGAGACAGCATAATCAGAAAATTTTGCTGGATGCCCAGAGTCGTCCCTGACAACTGAACGACCCAGAATGGTGGGGGGAGGAATTAATCTTTGGACAAAAATCAGATGTGACTGCAAAAAAAATCAAATTTATATATTTTTAAATTACCTTTTCCTAACACTCCCAGTTAAAGATACTGTTGAGATTAGGAAAACGACAGACAGAAACCTCAGGGCAAAATCAAGTCAAAGTTGAGCACTTTCCATCCCCACTGATTTCAATGGTTAAATAGCTGCTGGTCAGATTCTTAACTGTTCTTTTTAAAAGATAGGAAGTTAGCTGCGATTCCTGCATTATTGCAAGGGGTTGGAGTAGATGACTCTTGTGGCCCCTTCCAATTCTACAACTCTGTAATTCTCCTACCTCGCGGTATCAACCTTTCTCCCTGCAGTTTAACCCCATTGCTCTATGCCTGAATTTAAAATCACCACCCCACTTGTGAGCCCACCTGTCAGGAGGATCTGGCAGGTGCCAGCATCACACCTGTGTACAGAATCATAGAATCTTGGAAGGGACCCCAAGGCTGGTCTAGTGCAACCGTTTGCAATGCAGGAGTGCCATTTCCTCTGCCCTACATATTTCCACCTGCCTTGGGGTGCGGAGAGTGGCTTTGGTCTGCGTAGACTTAGCTTCTTGTTGTTGAATGAAGCCACCTCCACACACCCCATGGCATTCCTCCTCCGCCCCTGTGCCGGCTGCCCAAAGACTAGGATGGCAGGGACATCTCACCCGCCATTACTCACAGCTCTGTCACGCTGGGTGAGACCTGGGGTACGGTACGCAGGCCCCGATCCTGACAGTTCACAGCGGTCCCCGAACACCCACATCCAGCTGGGTACTGATTTAGGGCTGAGGGAACAGAGCGGAAGGCCGGCTAAGAGTCCAGAAATGGAATAATGATGATTTTGCACAAGGAACAAGATGGGGGGGGCAGATTAGGCAGGAAAAGGGATGGCAGGGTGAAGACGGCTATGGATGGAAACAATCACAGAATCATAGAATTGCACGGACTGCCCAAGGGTCATCTAGCCCAACCCCGTGCTGTGGATGGTGTGAATGTGGCCGCACACAAAAATATACTCACTGCAGTTGGCCACTCTCGATCCATCACTCGTCCTGCTGCTGCTGCTGCCGTTGTTGCTGAGAAGTTCATTGAAAATCTTGGGCCACCCAACATCATTCACTGTAAGGAAGGATTTAGATTCTGTTATGGATGGAAGTTCGGGCATCTGAGCTTTATCCTCTCCCTCAGTACTTAGCATAGTTAGTTAGTTAGTTAGTTAGTTAGTTAGTTATAGAGCCCACTTTTCCTCCAGGGAGCTCATGGTAGCCTATGTACTTCCCCTCCCCATTTTAGCCTTACAACAACATCCCTGTGTGGTAGGTTAAGCTGAGAGGCAGTGACTGGCCTCCAGGGTCATCCAATGAGCTGCATGGCCAAGTGGGGATTTGAACCCTCGTCTCTCCCAGGTCTTAGTCTGGTGCTCTAACCACTACACCACACTGGCGCTCTTTGTCAGGGAGCCTTGGCCCATGCACCAAGACCACCAAGTTCCCTTCTTCCCATACATACACCTGCATTCCCAACTTGAGAAGTGGAAACCAAAGGTTACCCTAAAGTTTCTCCTTAACAGTTGCCACCAACTTTGGACTTCAGGAGGCCTGAACTCTGGGGCCACCGAAAACCTGAATCTCATAGCTGAGCTTTATCTTCGTAATGCTACAATTCTGTGATTGGAGGTTTATAAGCAGAGGTTGGATGACTGTCCGTCAGAGATTCTCGACCTGTGATTCCTTCACTGCAGGGGGTTGAATTTGATGACTCGTGAGGATCCCTTCCAACTCTGCGATCCTGTGATTCTAGGAATCTCTGAAGGCTCCCTGAGCCACCAAAGGTCAGAATGCTTTCTTTGGCCACCTCTTAAGAGGGGAAAGCCTCACAGAGTCTAAGAAGAAATTACCACAGTTCTCTTCGTCGGCTCCGTCGTCACAGTTGATCACCCCATTGCAATGGAGAAGCTGAGGTAAGCAAACGGTCATGTTTTCGCATGGGAACATTCCGGAAGAACAGCCGCCATGATCTGGGTGAGAGTCAGCCAGAAAAGCCTCTGTCAAAGGGGAATTTGAGACAAAACACCAGAAATATCATATCCCGCTTCTGCATCCTTAGACAGTAATATTGACATGCTTTCCCTGAGCATATAAAGAGTGCTAGTCTTGCAAGTATAGGGAATGTCCCTAGGAGGGAGTACCAGGAGTCAGGAAGACTAACTCCTGGGGGAGCAGGCTGGCCCTATTCAAAATGTTGATGTCCACTAGCCATGGGGGCTTCACAGTCATTTTGCTTGTTTGTTTATGTTTATTTATGCCTTGATAGCCCACCTTTCCTCCAAGGAGCTCCAGGTTGCATACATGGCTCTCCCCCCTCTCATATTGTATTCACAACAACCCTGCAAGGCAGGTTAGGCTGAGCAGCAATGACTGACTCCCAACGTCACATTCAGTGAGCTTCATGGCCGAGTGGGGGATTTGAACCCGGGTCTTCCACATCCTGGTCCTATACCTTAACCACTACACCACTCTCAAGGGGCTTGTGTTCCGCCCTTCAGAAATGTCAGTTTTGATCTAGGAGGTGTCGTCACAGGCAATTAAAACCAAAGTCTATTCTGTCACAAGGGCTGTGTTGTGTAGTGGTTAGAGTGTCAGATTAGGACCTGGGATTTGCAGGTGGGACTCACCGTTCCCAGTTGGACTGTGCCATGATTCCTTCATTGCAGGGCATTGGACTCTACAATTCTTTGAGTCTATGATTCACTGGATTCTTGAGCAGTGATTTCTGCATTGCCGGGGGGGGGCCTGGACTAGATGACCCTTGGGCTCCCTTCCAGCTCTACAGTTCTATGATCCTGTGATTCTAATCTAGCTTGCTCAAACGATGACCGACTACAGTCCATTAGATGCCCCCGAGCAGGCAGCAAGAAGCTAGAGGTTTGCTCTACTGGGCCAGAGTCATCCTGAGGATTCAAGACCAGGTCTACGTGCAAGAAAGATCATCACATTGGGACAGGGAGCGGGGAGAGGACCTGAAAAAATTCCCAAAGTTGACATCCCATGAGCTATTGTTCGCTTACAGGCAAGGCATTTTTTCCACATCAGCTCTGAATTATGGCCCACATTTCAACTGCCTTGTTGACTACTCTTCACCAAAGTTAGAAATAGACGGCAAATATTTGGGAAGGCCTGAAGCTCTGCAAAAAAAAAACCTGTCCCTTTGAGACCCAACAGCAGCTTACCCAAATTTACTATTGTTTGTATCTGAAATGTTTGCTCTTGGGGAGGATTTGGGGACAGGGGGAGGATCCTAAATCCCAACTGCAGGAGTTAAATCAACCTTCTGCAATCTACTTAAAAGTCCTGGGCCTGGAGCAAAAGTTTCCCTGCAGCTTTGATTAATCGCTCTCCAAACATGAGAGCTGGTCCAGGAGTTGTTGGGAGTCTGGACCATAAAGAATACCAGAAGTATGAGTCCAGCTGTCAACATCTGAGCACCTTCTAAAGCTGGGGGGGGGTTCCAATGCATGGCCCAAGTGTGACCGTTTTTGGTGATCGTCAGCAACGTTTGGACTCTGTTGGAAGGTGGTGCACGCTCCATCATTGGAGCTTTTCAAAGAGAGGTTGGATGGCCATCTGCCTGGGATTGTTTAGCATGCAATTCCTGCGATGCAGCGGGTTGGACTAAAGGACCCTTAGGGATCCCTTTCAACTGTGCAATTCTATGATTTTAAAATGTACGTAATTGCATTTTGCTTCCTGCAGGGCAGGGCAAAATGGGGGATCTTCCTTTTCCACCTACAGACCTTGACCAGACTGGCAGCTGAATTCTACGGCTAGCCCAGTGAATGGTCCACACTCTTCATGGCATCTGAGGGCAGCCTCCTAATTTAGCTGGCCACGGGATACATGTTATGTATTCATTGGTCTGTGTTTGCCTGAGCTTGAGTCTGGACTAAGGAATCTGAGCTCCTGTGTTCTGATACGATACATGTTGTCTAATCACAGAACATTTCAGGATTTGGGCCTCTGCCATCGGCCCTTGAACTCTGAGTCATGATTCGCAGTTTGGAAGTTTAGACAGCCAATCATTTTGGGAGTGGGAGTGGCCCAGGCTTTCAGAAATGTATACAGTGGTACCTCTGGATGCGAACGGGATCCGTTCCAGAGCCCTGTTCGCATCCTGAAGTGAATGTAAGACGCGACTGCGCGTGCACAGGTCGTGTTTCGCCGCTTCCACACATGCATGTGACGCCATTTTGAGCATCTGCGCATGCACGAGCGGCGAAACCCAGACGTAACGCGCTCCGTTACTTCCAGGTCGCTGCGGAGCGCAACCCAAAAATATTTAAGCTGAAGCGTATTCATCCCGAGGTATGACTGTACAGTGGTACCTCGGGTTAAGAACTTAATTCGTTCCAGAGGTCTGTTCTTAACCAGAAACTGTTCTTAACCTGAGGTACCACTTTAGCTAATGGGGCCTCCTACTGCCACCGCGCTACGGTTACACAATTTCTGTTCTCATGCTGAAGCAAAGTTCTTAACCTGAGGTACTATTTCTAGGTTAGCCAAGTCTGTAACCTGAAGCGTCTGTAACCCGAGGTACCACTGTATAAGCAGTTGCTTTGCTTCAGTTTCCCAGTTATGTAGTTCAATAAAGGTTCTTGCTATTATCACTGTGCCTTGCCCCATGGGAACCCACCTATACTTCAGTACAGAAGAAAACAGCCATGGATCTGCCACCACTGCCCTCCCACTTCCCCCAGCATCTGCTACCTGAGGCAGGCAGCCCACTTTGCCCAATGCTAGGGCAGGGCCGATTTAACGGGCCAGTGCCATTTGTTTATTAGATTTCCATCCCACCTTTCCTCCAGGGAGCGCAAGGTGGCGTCACATGAGATTCCTCCTCCCATTTCATTTTCTCCCCACAACAACCCTGTGAGGTAGGTTAGGCTAAGAGAGACTGACTGGCCCAAGGTTGACCAATGAGCTTCGTAACTGGGTGGGGATTTGAACCCTAGACTCTCCTAAGTCCTAGGCCAACATTCTGACCACAATACCATACCGGCTGCCCACATTCTGAAGTCTCAGAAGCCAGAGGGTGGCTCAACAGGAAATTTGCCTCTCCATGATTGTATGAGTGTACATCTCAACAGTTTGCACGCACAGGCAAGCAAGTGCCGTACACTCATTGAACAAAATGTGTGGATGCAATAGTGGAATATTGTAGAAGACAATCACAGCGTGGAATCGTCATTGCTGTTTCCAGACTCCTAACAACTGTAGGAGCAGAAGATCATTTAATCCATTAGCAGTGGACCAACGTTCGCCGTAAATGTTGACGCAAGCAGACATCGCAGGATCCATGCTGAATGGCTGGATCACTCAAGCATTTCTGAGCATCACAAACAGACTCACTCATGCAAAGGAAGGACACGACATCCGCAGAGCTGAAGGAAAGGGGGGGGGTCAGCTGCCACGAATACCAAACGGATAAAGAAATGCTCAGGGTTACATTCTTTTGGGGGTGAAGATACTCGGAGGAATGGGTTCACACAATGCTTCTGGTTGAGGAGATCATGGGAGGAGGGGAGATTTAAGGCAGCGCAAGCCCAGAGGGAGCCACAGGGCACCACAACTATGACATAGTAAATTGAGCAGAACAGAAGGCAAGAGGGATGCTGAATTTTGGCCTCTCACAGGGCTCCGCCCCTGCTCTGGTCCTGCTTGCAGATTCCCCTTTGGGGTCATCTGCTTGGACACTGGGAGAAGAAGATGCTGAACTAGATGAGCCATTGGCCTAAACCAGTGGTTTTCAACCAGGGGACTGTGGCACCCTGGGGTGCCTTGAATGCTGGCCAGGGGTGCCATGAGCAACACTGGCCTCTGTCCTTCTTTCCTCTTTCCTCCCTCCTCTGATGCCCTTTCATGTTTTTGCCTTCCAAAGGCTTGCACAGCTGTTTGTTGCAGCAGCCCTGGCTACAAGTTCCGCAGGCAAATGGTGCCTCTGGGGCTGATTGCCAGGAGCTGAGGAAGCTTTGGAGTAAGCAAGCAAGCGGGCGAGAGAGCCCAGCCAGCTAGTCTGCCAGCCCTTGCTGTTAGGAAGGGATGGACAAGTGGGAGGCTGGGCAGACAGGCAGTGTGCTGGCCTATCTTGTCCTTGTTGTGTGCAAGGTCTACCTGGGAGCTGAAGGGGAGTCTTTCCAACATGTAGGCACAGCATGTTGCTGCCTCCCAAGGTAAGGTGCTGGTCTCACGTTCACCTTTGGCCAGTCTCTGTTGGGGTACTAAGGCTGGGGGCATCCTCTTTCCAGGCCCCTGTGGGTCAGTGTGAGGAGGCATCTCTCTTTGGGGCAGGGGGTACAGCTCAGAGACCAGGGGTGGCAGCAGCGGCTGCTCAGAAGACTGCTCTCCCAAGGAGAGGCGAGAGGAGAGGAGGCTGAGGGAACACTCCCCAAGGGAGGGTGTTCGAAAAAGGGTGAGAGACTGCCAGCTCTGATGGGGGGTGGGTGGGAGATGTCCTGAGAGAAATTGAAATTGAGAGTCAATGACCAGTTTGCATGAAACTGACCAGGTGCTGCCATTCCCCTACCTGACGCCCTCCAAACTCCCATCGTTTCCAGCCAGGGGAGCCATTTGATGATGCAAACTGATCTAGAGTTGTGGTCCAAAGAGGGTTGAGAACCAGTGTGGCGTAGTGGTTAGAGTGTCAGACCAGGACCTGGGAGAGACGAGGGTTCAAATCCCCACACAGCCATGAAGCTCACTGGGTGACCCTGGGCCAGCAGTCACTGCTTCTCAGCCTAACCAACCTCACAGGGTCATTGTGGGGATTAAATGAGGAGGGGGAGGAGGAGAACCAAGCCACCTTGATCCCCTTGGAGGAAAAGATGGGCTAGAAAATAAATAAATAAATATTCTGCCTTTTGCCAACCCATCAGCGCCAACCCATCTGGGCAACCCAGCACTTAACATTTCCCCTCCCATGACTGATATGTTGGGTTCTGTGCAAGAGGAGAAAAGGGTGGGTTTTTAAAAGAAGGGGGGGGAAAAGAAACAGCCACTTACTTGTAACCATCTGGAGGATCACCAGAAACAGCTTCATGGTGAACTTGGAAATCATCAGTCCAGGAAAGGAGGAATCTTTAGAGGCGCCCCCTCCCCAGGAAAGATGCTTCTGCCTCTACTCTGCTAGGATCCCACACAAGGTGACAGCTGCCTTCTGTGCCAATGTTTTGTCGCTTCCGGAAGAATCCCAATGAGGTCTGTTGATCAGGAACTGCATCCTTGAGTCAAAGAATATCCCCAACCGCCAACCACTCTGGTGCCGTCAACAGCTTCTGCTGGGGAGCCCCAGATCCCCTTTCAAGGCTGTTTCAAAGGCTGACATCCACAAGCGCCTGGCTCCCCTTGCGATGTAATAAAAAGTGGGAAAGGAATAAAATACAGGCAGCTTGATGGTTACTTCTTTCTGCTTCTCCTGCTGCAGGTCATTTTGAAACGGAATAAATAAATGCCTTTCCTTTGTGTGTGTGTCTAACTTTTTCTCTGTTGAATAGGGAGCCTGCTGGAAGGTTTCTCTCCAGACTGTCCAGATGGGGACTATGAGATATAGAGAAGAGGAGGCGGAGGAGGAGAGTCCACAGTTCTTCCCCACCATCAACCCTGGTGGCTCTCTCTGTAATACTTGACAGAAGGGCCCTCTGCTGGGCTAGCCACTGAATGAAAACTTGCTACATAGAAACATAGACTTGTGCAATCAGAAGAGACCCCAAGGGGCATCTAGTCCAATCCCCTGCAATGTGGGAATCACAGCTCAAGAATACCTGACAGGTGGCCAGTCAACCTCTGCTTGAAAACCTCCAAGGAAGGAGAGTCCACCATCTTCAGAGGGAGTGAGATGCCCACTTTGGAACAACTCTGGGCTGCTGTTGTTTTCCTAACGAGGCAAAGCAGATCTTACTCTGTCTTTATTAACAAGTTAAATACGCTCTCCAAGGCAAAGTGTCCTTTTTTCACCCTGGTTTGTGTGTTTTTTACTGGACCAGTCTTTTCAGCATAACTTTCCCAAAAGTCTAATGAAACCAGCTCCTGGAAGATTTTAAACAGCTTGTATTTCTGAGACATGATGCTTATTTAAAGTTCAAAAACAGCTTGAAGGGAAATACTACAGAACATCCAGATCGGCTGTAGTGGTTTAATTTTCAAAGGAGAAGCCAGGCTGTTTGCAAATGGCGGCCCGTGAAGATGAGAGAAGGAAGCAGACTAACAGAGATGCATGATTGGCAGTGGGGAGAGATTTGAAAGCCTGGCTCATAAGTTGATCATGGGGACATCAGAAGTAAATTCTTGGAATGGCACTAAGAACATAAGAGCCTTCTGGATCAGGCAAGTGGCCCATCTACTCCAGCATCCTAGAATCCTAGAATTGGAGAACTGGAAGAGACCCTGAGGGTCATCTAATTCCAACCCCCTGCAATGTAGGAATCACAGCTAATGAATCCCTGATGGATGGGCACCCAACCTCTCTTTGAAAACCTCCAAGAAAAGAGAGTCTACCTTCTGGGTTCTCACAGTGGCTGACCAGATGCTCCAAAGGGAAACCCACAATCAGGATTCAAGTGCAGAAGCACTCTCCCCTCCTGTGGTCTCCAGAAACTGGTATTCAGAAGCATCATCAGCTTCTGAAACAACATGAGCAGCTCACATAAAGCGAGGGTTCTTAACAGGACTTCAGCAGCCAGCAAAAGTGACACGTATCATTATCAACCAAAACTCCAGGGAGAAAATTCATCCTCTGTATTCAGAGCTGATCATGTCCCTTCTGGTCCTTAGCAATTCTCAGGCAGCTGGCTATTAGGGGTGCAATAAAAGCTACCCTGACTCAGAGAGGAATTACCATAAAATCTTCTGCAAAGGATGTTCACATGGAGTGACTGAAATTGCATCCGGCAAAGCTTGCTTTCCCCAGAGAGCTTATCTCAAGTGGACAGAAAAATCTCACAGGCCTTACTCTAATGCCAGCCAATATATATATATATATATCACAGCTGGAAATGCAGCCATCACTCACCATTAAGGGTGGATAGATTGGTAACTGCTTGGAACAAATAGTTATAAGAATTCAATTCACATTAAAGCTCCTATATATCTGAAATTGGACCCCGCTGGATCAGGCCAAAAGAGGTCCATCTAGTCCAGCCTCCTCTTCTCACAGCACTGTGCATAAGAACTGCAACAGGAGAGCAGCTCCAGTCTCTGCAGCCACAAACAGAGCTGGTCCCTTTGAAATAAGTGCTCTGATGTTTTCAGCACCTGGCTGTTGGAGGTGCATTTTCTTATTGAGACAGGTGCTACATCAGAATGGTGGGCACTCTGGGGCTGCAAAAAGAGGGTACAAAAAGCCCTGCCCCCCCCCGAAAAACAGGGAGAGGGATACCAGGGGCCCATTTGAATCACAGAATCATAATACTGTAGAGTTGAAAGGGACCCCAGGAGTCATCTAGTCCAACCCTCTGCAATGCAGAATTCACAACTCTTTCCATGGAGTCTTTGAAGACCATAGATCTCTTCCTGAAGGAGAGTCTCCACCCCCATTGTTCTGCCCAGACGCTGAGGTCCAGCGCCGAGGGCCTTCTGGCGGTTCCCTCACTGCGAGAAGCAAAGCTACAGGGAACCAGGCAGAGGGCCTTCTCGGTAGTGGCACCCGCCCTGTGGAACACCCTCCATCAGATGTCAAAGAGATAAACGACTACCTGACATTTGGAAGACATCTGAAGGCAGCCCTGTTCAGGGAAGTTTTTAATGTGTGACATTTTAATGTATTTTTAATCTTTGTTGGAAGCTGCCCAGAGTGGCTGGGGAAACCCAGCCAGATGGGTGGGGTACAAATAATAAGTTGTTGTTGTTGTTGTTATTCCTGCAGGATGTTTTCTGCCTGCATGCGTCTACCTGGCTTAGTCAAACACTGTTTAAGTGCTTAGCTGCACTTCTGGGACTTGAAGAACAAATCTGAGCCATTTAAAGAGGAGGTGGAGGGTCTTCTCTGCAATAGGACAAGACGCCCCAAACATTTTAACAACTCAGAGGGAATTTGTTAGGCATTTGATAAACAGCGCAAAGTACTTCTTGATTCAGTAATAATAAAACACAACTGAAAGCTTTATTGCCCTTTACACAATCGGTGTCTGTTGTAAAACTATTTTCTAGAATCCATGTCTGGAAGAGCATCTGTACTCTTGCCAAAGTTAATTTCTTTCCTACTGGCCTTAATGAAAGTGAGCCTGGGGCAAATAAAGCAGGAAGCAAGCAGATGTGCAGCCTTCCCTCCAATGTCTGGAACCACTGAACTGTAGAGCTGGAAGGGACCCTCAAGGTCACGCAGTAAGGTAAAAAGGTAAAGGACCCCTGGACAGTTAAGTCCAGTCAAAGGCAACTATGGGGTATGGCGCCGTTTACCTTCCCGCTGCAGCAGTACCTATTTATCTACTTGCACTGGTGTGCTTTTGAACTGCTAGGTTGGCAGGAGCTGGGACAGAGCAATGGGAGCTCACCCCGTCACGGGAATTCGAACCACTGACCTTCGGATCGGCAAGCCCAAGAGGCTCAGTGATTTAGACCACAGCGCCACCTGCGTGCCTCATCCATTGCAACTCCCTGCAATGCAGGACTCATAAAGTCCCATCGTGACTTTAGAGATGCCTTTGTACCAGTGCAACCTTAATGAAAGGGGATAAAAATGATCCCACTGGGGGAACGAAGGGGACGTTCACATTAACCGCTTGAAACGCAGTGAGGTCATTTCCCCTCTGCTGCTGAGTTTCAAGCCACTTTTGCAAGGAGATGTTCACACCGGGATGGGCGATGTCTTCACCCAACGCAAAGGACTTTTATCTGTTTCTCTGCCCCTGCAAGTGACTCTAATGTTCACTTTTCATAGAATCCTATAATTGTAGACTGGCCATCTTCCTCCATCTCAAGCCCATCCTTTCTTCCCCACCATCCCAACTTGCTCCTTTGCAGGGAGAAAAGCCAATAACTTACATTACTCAAGGGATGAGATCCCATGTCCTGCTAATGGTTCCTAATTCAAATTATAAGGAGGATTCTTTGTTGAGACAAATGCATTGCACACACACACACACACACACACACACGGGAGGGGGGAAATGCTGATTATCTGCTGAGAGTATTTTCCACAGCACAAAGCATTTTTCTTCTTATTTCTCAGAAGAAACTAAGCTATTCCACTCCTAAACTGGAGAGAAGCGTTCCACAGAAAACTGAAAATTCTCCCAGGTGAATTACAATCCGGTAGCTGCACTTGAACCCTTGGTTTTGTCCAGGATCAAATTTGAGATAAAATCATAGAATAGTAGAGTTGGAAGGGACCCGAAGCATCATCTAGTCCAACCCTCTGCAATACAGGAATCCCAGCTAATCCTGGCTTCTTACCAATGGAAGAGTGTTGCAAGCTACAAATCAAACCGAAACGTAAACATTCCTGTTAATTTCTAGTCTTTAGTCCATGTCAGGTTTCCAAGCTCCACTTCCTCCCTCCCGCAATTTTTACTGCTGTGCTCGAGACATTAATGCAAGAGGTTCTGATAAATTTGCCAAGGTCACCTACAGCAAATAGCTGGATGCCCTTTATTGCAGCTGGCAGGTAGCAATAAATGGGTCTGAGGGAGTCGGCCCAAATAATCCAGATACTAGCGCTTTGTTGCAAAGAGGTGAAGGAAACCCTTTCATTTTTATTTTATTTTTAAAGTACCTAGTGTCTTACTATATAGAATCTGCTGCTGGGTGTGCCCAGGAACACCCCTGGGGTCCCTTCCAACTCTCCAACCCTGCAAGTCTATTTTCCCTCAGCTAGTGTGTTGTAGTGGTTAGAGTGTCAGACTAGGGACCTTCGAGAGTCCAAGGTTTATTTTTATTTTATTTTATTTTTAAAAAATATTACTTTTTTATTATTAAAATAATTCAACATTAATACATACATGTTACGAATATACAAATATACATACATTTCAAACAATCCTTAAAAATATTCATACATACCCACACTCAATCCCACAAATACTTCATTTTCCCACCACCTCACCCCTCACCCCACCCTTGTGATAAACTTCCAATCTACTCAATTGCAGTTTCTTTCCACTTCTATTACTTTCTTTCACATACTTTTAAACCAATTTTCTGCTTCTTTTTCTGCTACACATTGTTATCAATCTTATTTATAACGGAACTTGTTTATTCTAATAGGAGTTCTGATTTTTCAATATAATTTTGCAAGTATCCTTTAAACACCTTCCAGTCCTTGTCTATCTTCTCTTTTGAGATCCTTCCAATTTCTCCCATTGTTTTGGATATATTGCAATACTGCACTAATTTGGCAAGTCACTCTGTTTTTGTCGGTATAATACCACTTTTCCAATTTTTCGCAATCAATAGCTTTGCGGCTAAAGGTACCCCTGCCCGTACGGGCCAGTCTTGCCAGACTCTAGGGTTGTGCACTCATCTCACTCTAGAGGCCGGGAGCCGGCGCCGTCCGCAGACACTTCCGGGTCACGTGGCCAGTGTGACATCGCTGCTCTGGCGAGCCAGCACCAGTGCAGCACACGGAACACCGTTTACCTTCCCGCTATAAAGCGGTACCTATTTATCTACTTGCACTTTAAGGGTGCTTTCGAACTGCTAGGTGGGCAGGAGCTGGGACCGAAAGACGGGAGCTCACCCCGCCGCGGGGATTCGAACCGCCGACCATACAATCGGCAAGTCCTAGGCACTGTGGTTTTACCCACAGCGCCACCCGCATCCCAGCTTTGCGGCTACTGTTGCGTATAAATATAATGTCTTGTCTTCTTCCTTTAGACTTCCTGGTACTATTCCCAATAGAGAGTCCAGGGTTTAAATCCCCCCAAACTGGGCCATGAAGCTCACTAGGTGACCTGTGGGGCCAGCCACTGCCTCTCAGCCTGAGCTACCTCACAGGTTTGTTGTGGGGCTTAAATGAGGGAGAGCACCCCAAGGGTCATCTAGTCCAACCCCCTGCAATGCAGAAATCACAGCTGGGTGTGATACTAGACTCCCTTCAGCCATTAGGTACACCTTTTATGGGTCTGTTTGGTACAAGGGAAGTAGCTTTCAAGGTAAATATTTGCCCATCGCTCTCCTCTTTGGATAACTGTAGAAACAGAGATCTTATCAGTTGCTTTATGGTTGAGAGCCTATGGTAGTGGGCAGGTGGTATCACTTAAGGGAGAAGCCCCCTGAATCAGCCTTATTACGCCATCCCAGCAGCCATCTGGTACAAGTTCTCTCTGTCCGTCTCCAGGAAAGGGGTAGAAAATAAAACTCTGCCAGTCTGGTAATCCCCTGTTGCAAATGGATGAGGCCACCCATGGAATAATGTATTGCTGGGTGGCCATCTGTCAGGGATTATTTAGCTGTGATTCCTGCAATGGCTAGATGACTCTTGGGTTCCCTTCCAATTCTACAGTTCTAGGATTCAGTCTCCAAGAGGTGGGAGACTCCAAGGGATACCCTCCAACATTTCTCCAATGAAAATAGGGAAGTCCTGTTTCATCATCACCATCATTTAACTAGGTTTCCCCAGCCATTCTGTGCAGCTTCCAACATATATAAGAACATAATACTGTAAAACATTAAACAACTTCCCTATAAGTTGGCAACCATCACGGTCTCCTGCAGGCATGAGTTCCATAGTTCAACTCCTTGCTGCACAAATGAGTCCTTTGTTTTATCTATCTTCCAACATTCAGCTCCATTGGATGTCTATAAGTTATGAGGGAGAAAAACTTTTCTCTGTCTGCTTTCTCCATGCCATGCATCGCTTTATAGGCCTTTATCATGTCTCCTCTTACTCAACTATTTGCTAAACTAAAGTCCCAGGTGCTGCAAATAGGGGTGTTGCCCTTCTCCGGAGGACCCTAAGAGTCATTTAGCCTAACCTCCTGAAATGCAGCAATCAATGCTCTGCTATTCTCTCTGAGGTCAGGTGAACAGAACTATACAGAATATGCCATATGCAACTGCACCATAGATTTGTATAATGGCATATTGCCTTTTTTATCACTTTACTGAGGCTGTGAATTTGCATTTTGTACTTTGCATTTTGCCTTATTGTACACTTCAACTCCTGACACAGGTACAGAGGTGCCTTGGTAGTCAAATGGCTTGGCTCCCAAACAAATTGGCTCCCAAACGCCACAAACCCAGAAGTGATCCAGTTTGCAAATGTTTTTCAGAAGCGGAACATCTGACACACCTTCTGTGACTTCTGATTGAGTGCAGGATGTTTCTGCAGTCAATCAAAAGCTGCACCTTGGTTTTCGAACCGTTTCGGAGGTCGAATGGATTAAAATTGAGAACTAAGGTCCACTGTATTCTGCCATAAGTGGGGAAATGGGCCCACATCTCCCCAATGGCTGCTTGATGAACAGCCATCGTCACATTCCTGGCAGCACCACATAATGTAATAAGAACAAGATTGTGACTTCTAATAATATTAGAAAGGCAAAACTGTATTGTATTGTTTGAGCTGAAGAATTTTCAAGGCGCAAATTCAATTTCATTGCATCATATATACACCTACACTCAGTTATTTCCAAGTCAGGATTTGTAAATTGGCATATGATCATTTCCAGTTGGAATTATATGATCTGTAAGCTGGTATAGGACGACTTATTTTGGATGGTTGAGAAATTTGATTCCATTCAGTTGCAGGCCAAGCTCCCTGATTTGCAATTCCCAGAACTGAAAAACAGCACCCATCCTTTTATTATTATAGTAGTTATTTTTTAATTTATTATTTATTACATTTCTCTACCGCCCTTCCTCAGAGGATCACAGGGCAGCTTACAATATAAACACTCAAAAATACATAACCGTCATAAACAAAAACAATAACCCCCCCCAAGAGTTTATTGTGCATTATTGGGCAAAATTGCATGCAAAAATGTGTATATTAGAAGACATTTGCAGTAGGATACTGATTAATTTTCATTACACTGTATATTTTCTGGAAATATGGCGAACTGAATTGATATTTGGAAAGATGAGAAACTTGAGAGAAACCAAAACTGAGAGATTTGCCCAAATTAGCGATGCAGATACAGAAATTGACTCAAATCAGGGTCCATTTATTCCAAAATGAGGTGGAAAATCGTGAAAAGTGCCGCATTAGGATTCAGTGGCTGAAATGCCAAAAGAGGAAGGAATCAATGAATAAGTCAAGCAGATGCACCTAACGAGATGCCCTCCAGATGTTGGTGGGGCTGCACTCCCATATAGGCAGCGGCGCTTAAGGAGGGCGGAGTTGCAGCCCGCCCCCAACATCTGGATACGCCCTCTCTGAAATACGGACTAGCTCCAGCTCAGAAACGCAAACCACCCCCCCCCGCACTGCACAATGGTCTCTTCCTCCCTCTTCGTCCGCCTGCCGAATAACGAGCCCAGCGCTTTTCGCGGGCTGCCGCGGTGCTTGCTGGGAGCCGTCCTCCTCCCTTGCTTTCCCGCCTTGCAAGGGAAGCCAGGGACGGGCTTCCCGCCGCACACGAAATGGAGTCCTCGGCTCCTCCCAGAAGCCGCCGCCCTTCAGCTCCCCCAAGATTCCGAGATGGTACGTTCGAGCCAATCAGCCGCCAGTTCCTTTTTGCCGCCACCTCCCGCCCGTCTACATGGTACGTCCCGAGCGCTTAAAGGGAGCCGCACGCGGGTTCGTTCGTTCTTTCGCTCGCGCCGCTGCTCGTCTTGTGTTTGGGCTGCGGAGGGGAGGAAGGAAACGATGAGGCCTTGCAGGCGCCGAGGTTTGTACTCGGGGCGGGGAGCGAGGCCGAGCCTCGGGGTTCTTTCAACACTGGGCCTTTTTCTTGGGAGGGGGGGATTCCCTCTCCGCGGGATGATGATGCCGTGATAGGAAGTGCCGTCAGATGCGAGAACTGACGAGAGATTCCCACCGGCTGACCTCGGAGCAGAGTCACGCGGGCCGCCTTTGACCCCCGCCCCATAGGGGCCCGTGAAGAAGAAGCCGCCCCCCATAACCCCCTCGTGGGGATGGAGAAGGCCGTGGGTGCGTTTGAGTCCCCCCTTGAAAGCACGTGGTAGCGAGATCTGGCCTTGGCTGCGAGGCGCGGGTTGGGCGCTCGTGGAGAGGCTGGATCTGCAGATCCAAACGGAGGATCTGCCCACGCGGTTAGCAGGGGGTACCATATCAGAAGTTATTTTGTCTACCGCCCCCCATTTGAAATAACGGCCACGAGGGGGGGCAGTGGGCTTCCGAAGTGCAGGGTTGTTGCTTTCCAGCTTACATACACCATAAGCTCATGGAATAATAATGGGGGGGGTTGGTACCTCGCCCATTTGACTGGGTTGCCCAGTAAATTGACATCACAGCTGGGCTCCTGCAGAACTGGATTCTTCCAGCCTCTTCCTTGAGCCACTTACTTTTGAGGCGGAGGGAGCCCTTCACTTAACTGCCTCCCTGACATTTGCTCTCTTGTTGCAGGTTTGTTTCATTTGCCACGTGGGGCCAGACCTGAAGTGGCAGGAGGGAGGATGGATCCTTAGCTGCCCTAAAGGTAAGCCTACAAGTCCCTGATACAGAGTAGTATTCCCTAGGGAAAGCCTCACAGTGATGAAACAAAACCTCAACTAAGCTGGAATTACCGTCAGACTTCTGCTGTTGAGAAGGTTCTTTCTGAGCAATCCACACCCCAGTGGGGAGGAAGTGCAGCTGCTTCTGCTCCCTCCACAAAAAATAGCTCTGGTTAACAGGGTTGTCCTTTTTCTCTGCAGGGAGCTAAAGCTGTCCTCTTCCCAAGAGGAGCATTCCTGATTCCTGTAGCCCTGGCTTCAAAGGTATGATGAGGCATTTTTGATTTCAGAAATGGGAGGGGAGGTCTTTGTGTCCTGGCTGGTGAGAGCAAGAACATTAGTTTTGCTGCTTGAGGATAGCCCAGTTCACATCTAAAGCTACGTTAATGCTTCCTGTGAATGAAAATGTTGCAGCCACAAGTTTGCAAACCACCTGGGCCAAGCCAGTTTGGATTAAGCTAGCACAGTAGAGCATGACTCTTCATCTCAGAGTGATGGGATCGAGCTCCATGTTGAATTTCTAGATGGCTCTTGTGATCCCTTCCAATTACAATTTTATATATTATTGATGTTTAATAATGTCTCTATAATCCACCTGGATCAGGGCTCATTTGTTTGGAGCACTGTTACAGTAATCCAAACAGATTTAGCATCAGGACTTGGGTTGGAGCAGCTGCAGCCTTCAGTCTGGGAACTAAACTGGCTTGGGGAACATTTTTTCCGTCCGAGAGCCACAATAGGTTGCCGGGGGAGTTCTCTCACCCTTGTTTTAGTGTTACATGTTGAGCAGTCTGCTAAGTAGCAATTGTTGAAGGGGAAACAAATTGAACCTGTGATCCTCTGCTGAAAACCATTTGTGCTTTCCTGTTCATAGAGGGTGAAAAGAAGCAACTGTTTGATTTCTCCTCTGGGTGGCAGCAGGGTCAAGAACAGAGGGCAATGGATTTCCAAGAGCCTGGAAAAGCCAAATGCTTCCCAACCAAGAGGTATGTGTGTTCCCTTGCCTACACTTGCTCACTGAGGCCTGGCACATTAGCAGGGCAAATACGTAATGACTGCCTTCAAAGCACTGCACTCTGGTTTCGTAGCGTCTCCTGAATTGCTGTGACTGGGTGTAATTAAGTGTGGTACCACTTAGCCCTTAGGCGATCTCTGCTGTAGATTCCTTGTGCCTGCTTCTTCACAGAGTGGAGAGGGGTGAAGATTAAATCATTAGGGTCTATGGTAGGGCTGGGCAATACCTGGTTTTGAATATTTGAATATATCACAAGGTCTGAAATAAGGGTGGAACTATGTAGAAGCAGCGACTGGCTTCAGGTTTTTCCCACATTGTGATTTTTGCATAGCGCAGACATACGAGAAACTAATATGATATGGACTGGTTTGGGACAATATATTGATATATTGCCCAGCCCTAGTCTGTGGTAGATGGTGCAGTTAACTTAAGCAGTGCTGGTCATGGTATTTCTACTGAAATGAGTTTGTTGGAAGGAGTGCCAGTTACTGTATTTGCATGTAAATTTTCATGATGTCTTTTCAGGTTAGTGGCTGGTGACTTGTCAACCACATACAGCTCAAAAGCGGCCTCCCCAGCATTTTCTTCAAGGCCTTCCCAGGTGCACCCCACCACCTCTCTCTCTTTGCATATGGCATACCTGGCAGTGTGGCTGTGACTCCAAGAAAACAAGTAGAGGCTCATTCCAATCCAACTCATCTTTGCAAAGTTTTGGGAACAGGGCAGAAGACAGAAACCTGTTTTGAAAAGTCTCTTCTGTATGTGGCCACAAATATGTATAAGCTGTGAGAGTGAATAAAACTTATTTTTGAATGTACAACTGCATTGCACTGGTTTTTTACGTGTGCCTGAGGGAAAGCGTGCGAACAGGCTACTCTGTGCCATAGGCTGTGTTCAAACTAGGTCAAATGCTCATTGTCTGCAGATGTTGGTGGGTTTCAGTTATCACCCTCTGCCAGCACAGCCAGTAGTGTAAAATTCCAGGAGTTGTAGTGTGGAAGGCTACAAGCTAGCCCTTTTAAGTATAAAGCAAGCCAGGAAACATTGCTTGAGTTTGAGATGCTTCTGGGCCAGAGAGGTGGCCCTCAAATCAAATACTTATGTGTGCACACAGAAGAGGTTTAGACTTGGTGGTTCTCGCTATCCTGTTGGTGATAGACCAACCAGGCCCATCATATCCTATGAGCAAGCAGGAGTGACAACCTGCCCACTGCTTCTCAGGCTCTTTCAGAACTTTAAATGGCTTTTGCCTTTCCTCTGCTGTATAGCACCAGGCAACATGGTAGCTGTCAGCTATAACACCCTCACAGGGCTAGCGGGAGTGAAATACCATCTGTAAGGCACCAGGCCCTGTGGTGTAGCCATTGTCTTGGGGTTTGTTTTTTCCAGGGAGTGTTGCCACATGGTGGCATATTGCCCATCAACAAAGAGTGAGGCTACAGGGATTAATTATCCTTTCCTGTGAGTTAAGTGGGAGGGGGGCAACTTATTTAAACATTGCAGTCCTTTGTGTTGCACCAAAGCCACCTCTATTGAGCTTGCTTATTTGCTCAGACACCTGTAAGTGTAGCAGCTCATGGGAGATAAATTTGAAAAATGTGCTTTTGTGTGAATTGATTCCTTAGCAGATACTTTAAAAACACTTTTAAGATTCCCTGATGGAAGTTCAGTTAGCCAGAGAGATTTGGCACCAGCAATTTGAGTTAATAGTGTGAGAGAGGCTCAATCTATTTGCCGTAGAAGCCTCATGCACAAGGCATGCATAGTTTTGGCACTCAGCCCCTCCTTTGTTTTGTTTTTTTTAAATATGCTTTTTATTAGGTTTTCATTTCATATACCCCTTGTCCACTCTCAAAAGGGGCAGTGTGCTCATTCCCAGTACGGTAAATGGTGGGTAGCTGATTTTTCTGAGGCGCTTGGTGAGTCTATCACAGACTTGGCCCTCCCTGAGACTGGCATGGTTAGTAATAATAGTCTTAAGCACTGCAGGCTGTGAGGCAGTAAACACTTTATCTCGCAGGCAGCAGGATGTCGCCTTCATTAATGCGCCTGCCTGCATTTCCCAAGCAGACAGGTGCATGGATGATTACAAATTGAAGGCTGAAGCTACACAGGAAGAGAAAATGGAAGGGGTAATGTCACATCTCTCGGGCATGCTTGTGCCATGCAGCTTTCCCTTACTGCCTCCCCCAACTGATGCCATCCAAGGGGAGAAGCTCAATAGATGGCTAAATCTTAGCTGCTGGCATGTAAGCAGTACTGTTGGGCGCTCTTTTGAAACAGCCGGAGCTTGTGGTGAGCAACAGCCAGTAGATTTGCTCATTCTGTTCACGTGCCTGGGAGTATCTGGCTCACAATCCAGCATGCAGAGCATTCAGCCTTTTTGTCACGGCAACACTCTCATTCTGAAGGTGTCACAGATAAGCCCAGATGCACAAGGGCAAAATCTCAAAGAAACTGGAGCAGAGCTTGGACTGCTGTTTGAACACATGAAGGTGATCAACACAAAGTCTCGCTCTTGGGCTCTCAAAATCCTGCCTTCGCTCTTCCAACCAGCTTCAGGTAGTGGGAGAAGAGCCTTGTGGCCATGCTGCTGCCTCCTGGGCTCTTAACAGAGGCCATTGGTAATGGAGTTACACCCCCACTCTGCCAAGGCACCTCCTGTCACTCCCCCTCCCCCTGTGCTAGCCACCCTGGCTAGAAGGCAGAGGAAAGAGCACATTCTTTGGTTCAGTGTCTCCTTGCTTCAGCTGCAGCCTTTGCCTCTTAAGAGCACTATTGCAGGATTAGATCCCAGCACACAGGACGAAGACTGTCGCTTAAGCTGACAGCTGAGAAACCCTTCTATTTAAATAAAATACTTTTATTGTTACGCCTGCTTGACAAAGCATATAAAAACAGTTTCAGCTACATGCAAACTATGACAACATTTGGAGCCACCGATGGGGGTGGGGGGCAGGGTTAGGTTGGTCCCTCTGGAGTGTAAAAGTGGGCACTCCGGTCAACTGAAAATGTGGAGTTGCATTTGTGCCATGGGGAAAACAGCTGAAATAAGCCTGATCCAGTGTCCCCCGTCCCTCCCCCGTGGAGAAGAGAGGTGTTGGAAGCTGAAATAGGCTTTCCTCTATGAAGATCCTGGCAGTTGTGCAGGGCCTGTTTCAAATTGGGTGTTTACCCAAATTAAAGCACTTAATGCATATGGGGTTACTGACTTAATCCTGGCTGGGTGGAGTGGGAAGTGAGTGGTGGCTTACCATGTCCACAGGCAGACTGGAAAACGACAAGAGCTAATATGCTCGCATGGAGCTGAAGTTCAGCAAGGCCTTAGCTGGCAAACGGTCCACTAGTGGAGGCCCCAGGGCTGCGTTTTGTAAACTAGTAACTCCCCTCTACGGTCTCCTCCTCTGTCACAGTGATGGGAAATCCAAAAGAACCGAAGACACCACACGGAGAGACTGTTGACACACGACAGCTATTTCACACCACAATTGCGACATGAACATCTGGAAGCATTGGCTTGATTCCCTCTGGTATTGTCACCAGAAGCCACATGTTGGTGACCCCTGAAGCAAAGCAGGCCACACTTAAGCCCCAGCAGCTTTGGAGGGGAGAGTGAAGCAAAGGGAGTTTGGCTTTTCCTGCTTTGCTGGATCAACCGACCTAGAATCTGAGGCTTAGGGCAGCAACTTTTGCACCTGCCTTCACTGCACTGAAACTCAGCGTGTTAAATTGTGAGACTCAGCGGCAGGGGAGGGGAGAGGCAAAATCCACTTATTTCTTGCATTGTTGGTGCTAGTGAACAGTGTCTGTTCCTCTGCTGCATGTGGGAATGGGGAGAGGAAGGCAATTTCCCAGTTCTTCTGGATCAGGCTGATGATATGCACTCCTAACATTTGAAAAATCAGCATTTCCCCCAGTTCTGTGGGATAACTGGCCCCCTGCCTTTGATGCAAGGATGAAAATCCTTTCCTGAAACTTCTACCACGAAAATACTTGGGAACTTTTTTTTTAAAAGCAATCAATCTGTAACCACTATAAGGAACAGAAAATGAGCAAACGTGAAAGTCCTGGTGAAGAGTTCTGCGTAACTAGGAACCTACACCGGACAAAGACTGGCTCAGTAGTGGTGTTGCCTTCTCAGTTTGTCTTTCGTTCTCTGGAACTAAAGCGGCTGCAGCACTAGAGATCTCCCCTCTGTGTTTGTCACAAGATCTTGGGAGTTGAAGGGCCGAGAGCATCACTAATGTACTGAAGGGTGCAGCCTGCCTCCCCGACACCACTTCTTTCTGTCCACTCGTTTATTGTCCTCAAAAGAGGACCCTCCTCAGTATCTGTGGCGTCTGGGGCCAAGATCTTTGCTGCTGATGCTGCTGTCACCGGGGTGGGAAATGGGTGGGTGTCTGCCGAGAGCATTCTGGCCAAGTGAGAGGTGCCTGCACCTCATGTCTGAAGCAGCCCCAGGGGACCTGCCTCCTCGTCTGCCACTTGACTCTCCAGCAGCCTGACCTCAATCGCCTCGCCTGTCTGCAGCTCTCCGGGACTGGCAGTGCCCACGCTGCTGCTGCCGCCACTTGCATCCTCATCCACGGAAGGCAGACCCTCCTGACTCTCCAAGTCACTCACCTGGCCCTCCCCGAACTCCAGGATGGTGGGGAGGTTCCCCTGGGTGGGGCAGCGTTTCTTGAGGCTGACCAGGAAAGGCTGTGGCAGGGAAAAGATGTCGACGTTGTTGCCCAGGTCGATCCACGTCATGCTGGGGAAGTTCCTGGGGTCCTTCAGCGCCTCTGTCAGGTCCCGCAGGATAGCCTTGGTCAGCCTGTTGCCGTTGAGGGAGAGGGTGGAGAGGTGGGGCAGGGCGCTCAGGACGGGCAGCAGCTGCAGGAACACCTCGTCCGTCAGGTCCGTGAAGCAGAGCTCCACGTTCTCGATGTACTCCGAGGTCTGCTGGAGGTAGGGGATGACCCGGTCCAGCTCCTTCAGGGTCAGGGGGATGCCCGACAGGTCGACGGTGTTGTCCCGGGGATTCCCCACCAGGATCATTTTCAAGCTGCAAGAGAAGAGGAAGAGGAAGGGGCTTCGTGAATTGTCTCTGGCCAGTCCCTAACCCGCACTGCTGGAAGGTGGAGGCACCATGGAAAACCTCCCGTTAAGGACACAAAGAGGAGGAAATGGAAAGAAACTAGGCAGACATTTCAGGGCCAGGTGTAAGAGAGGCTCAAGCAGCCATCAGTTTTGATCGTGGCTACGAAATTCCCATGTGTGCTCAGAATTCAGCCCAGGGTTCCCCAAATGGCTAAAGTAGTCCACCTACATTTTTAGGTGAGCAAGCTGTCCTGTAAGGTCAGCAAGTGACAGAGAGAAAACAGGTGCATCTCAACTTCCATATACGTTTGGATAAAAGGCACAGACAGTGCTATTTTTCTAGGGGTGAAATTAGTTAACCCTTGACCAAATAAAATAGTTAATCCTTGACTAGATAACCCTTAGGGTCCCTGTCAACTAGGATTCAATCCTACAGAAACACATTTTATTTTTTAAGTTGGGGGGGGAATCTACCCCACAGGACAAAGAACCTGGGAGCCCCTCAACTCTATAATGCTCCTCAAGAGCATGCTAAGCGGCTCAGGCAGCGGCAGCATCTCCCCCTCAAACGTAATCTGCCGTCCAGCAAAAGGGCTGCAGAGGTTGTGGCTGCCAGATGCTTTCGAGGTGCAAATCTGCTGCCTACGAAATCCCTTCCTCTGGCTTTGTAAGCACCGCCTTACCCCACCATGCTGCAGAGCCTGACGTTGCAGTGGAGAGTCTCTGCCAAGCTCAGAGTCAGCTGCCAGGGCCAGCTGCTCTTCCTCACCCTGCAGAGCCACCTGTGGGTGGCCACTGAGCACCCACCTTCCCTGCTTGGGGGAAAGGGCTCCCTGACTCACACGAGGACCCTTCTGAACACAAGAGCAGGCAGGCACAGACCCGCAGGCGGAAGCCGGCCAAAAGCAAGGCATTCATCATACGGCTCGTGGCTGGAGCAGAAGGCAGCCCAGATGCACTGTTGTCGGCAGCCCACACAGGCGCCTCAAGAAGCTTCCTTCTGGGGCCTCAGATGCAGGGGGGAGCGCTGAAGTCAGTGGCCTCGACAAGGATGCGGAGTCACAGCCACAGTGGCGCCTGGAGAGCATCCAGCCACGCTTTGACCACTCAAAAGCAGAGCAAGTCACGTCGCTCCCTGAATCAAGTGAGGGGGGCAGAAGCACAGGCAGAGCCAGACTCCACCAGTCGCTGCTGGGCTGACTTCTCCTGCTCCAAATCCAATTGTACGACGCAGCACTGCTGAAAAGCAAGGCGGCGGGCAGCTGTACACCCTGTACACTGTTATCTTGCGCCACGGGGCCCTCTGCTCTTGCTCAGAGGCACGTATCGCTGGTTTGTTGTTTTTTAATCCAGTGTTTCTCCTATCCAGCCCTTCTGCTCCCGACTGAGCTACTGTCCGTCTGAGATTCAAGGGGGAGGGAATAAAACAGATTATCAGGCATCGTGGTGGCTCTTCTCTCTCTTAATGGAAGACTCTCAAATGAAGAGTTGGCCACACAGAGAACCAGAGAGGGTCTGTGCCAGAGCCAAGCCCTACTAGGGAGGGGTATTCCTGGCTGCTCCTGCTGCAACCCCAGCCAGTCCATGTCCCCCACTCCACCCCGACTGAGGGGCAGCTGCAGCCAGGAGAGGGTTCCCCTGCCGGGTGCGGAGCCCTTCTGGTGAACATGAGAGAAGCATCCGCTTTAAGACGTAAATAATTTGTCCCCTGTGATGCTAAGCAGCAAGGAAGGGAAGCCAATTCAGATGCTTGCCTGCCTGCTCTGACCTTCCCGCTGGCTGGCCAGAGAATCTGAAGTGACAAGTGCCGTTTGTGCCGCTAAAGCGAAGGCAGCAGCTGGCTGGGAGCTGCAGCCTGGAGGGACACAGCCGAAGAAGCAGCAGGAGGTGAAGGAGTTTGCCACGGAGGCTGGGGTGCGGTGGGGGGAAGGCCACCCCCTGGTGCTCGGTGGCTGAGAACACAATTTAAGGATGAGGCTCAAAATGTCCGCAGGATCTGGAGCCCCGCTCAAGACCCCAGGAACCGTTCCAGTCCAGCTGCTACCCAGAACGGTTCAAGTTTGGCAAAAAGCAGGGAAGAGGAGGGGGCTCCCTTGGAAGAGTCACCCTGCAAAACGTTCGCCCACGTGGGGAGGGCGGGCTTGTCAAATTTACATCCTAAAGTTGTTCCCCACCACCAAGAAACAGAGGATGGAGGCAACTCCTGCGAGAGACAAGTGCTGTCTCTGCTTTTTCCAGAGGAGCGATTCCACCCACCTGGGAGCTCGCCTGCCTCCCATCACAGGCCCGGCCAGCCTGCGTTGCATCGAAACTGCAAATTACTGCATTTAGAGAGAGAGAGAGAGAACTGCTCCGTAAACAATCCCGTTGCACATTCCTTCCTTGCAAAATGGAATCCGCTGCCTTGCTGGCTCCACAGGCTGGCTGTAGTTATGTCCGCACGTAAAAAGAAACTGCCAGAAAGCAGTGGCAGATGGGACAAGAACCCTCTCTCATTTTGGGTGGCGGGGAGACTTGCAGGTGCAGGTGTCCAAGACTTTTCCAAGGGCCTTGTGAGCAGAGGGTACATATCAAGGCAGCAGCAGTTGGGAACAGACCCTTTTCCTCTTGGGTTTGCTACCCTTGTGGTTCACTACCTGCAGCCTCTGCCTGGGGCATTAAAATGCAGGCATTGCTCTGGGAAGTGAATGCAAGTATTTCCTTTCTGACTTTAGCATGATACACAGACAGAGAGCCTACCAATTTGTTAGAGGCAGCTGAGGGGGAAATGTCTCCTCCTGCCAGAGTCACGCAGCCAGTAAAAAAAGTGTGTTTATTCTGTTGGAAAATGTTTTAATTTTTAACAAATAAAATTTTCTGCTTCCAATTGTCCTGAAACTATATAAAAAGTAGGGTGAGGGAACTTAAAAGCCAGGAAAAAGGAGAAGGAGAGAAGGAAGGAAGGAAGGAAGGAAGGAAGGAAGGAAGGAAGGAAGGAAGGAAGGACTCTAATGGAATGGGAGAATAGGGTAGCTGCAAGAGGCATCAGGGGCCACATGCAATGGAGTCAAGGGCCGCATGTGACCATATAACTAGACATTAACCAACCATTAACAGCTAAATCTATGTAGAGATGCATTTTCTTCTGAAATTTTTGCCAGAATTATCTAAAAGACAAGGGCAGAGTATTAAATTTTAACAACGCAACAAAAAGCATGCATTTTTATTCTCTCCCTTTTACTGCCTTCAATAATAACCCCACAAAATAGTTCTTTCCAAGAGAGTTCATGGCTTAATCACATCATCTGCTGCTACAAAACCCACTTCAATTCGTAGGATGAAAATCACAAAGGGGAAGTGGAGGGGATCCAGGTCACTGTGTGTCACGATGAAAAAGAGGCTCTCCGTTAAAGAAATAACTCCTAAATACATTAACATTCTGCCTGAAGACAAGAACACAGGAAGGCAGGAGGCATCTTCTTGCCCCTCCAAGATCAGCAGGGATTTCCCCCTGGAGGGAAACTTCAAAGTGTTTCCAATTTCTCTGACAGCAGGTTGGCAGATGAAGCCAAACAGAAATTAATCTCCAATTAATCTGAACAAAGATTAGAAGGAAGGCTGGTGCCCAGCCAGGATCACTCAGGGTGAGATGATTATTTTTTTAAGCGGGGGGTGAGGGGTGGAGTAAGGAAGCCAGGAAAGAACCCCTACCAACCCCTGTCTTACTTTACCCAGCAACAGAGCATCTCCACCCTAGGCACATCCTACAACCTGCAAGCTCACTCTCTCCTCTGGCTCCTGAGCTCACAAGAGGCTTCAGTCCGCATTTCCCCTGTCAGAGGGAGGGGAAGCCCCGCCTTTATGAGCAGGGCACAGTAGGTACAAAATAAAATAGGCAATAACAATACGCTTAGATGTAATATAGCACCGTGTATTGCAAGCACTACAGCAGGCAGAAAAACCATTACGTGCACCCCCCAAGGCCCTCTGAAATTGTCAAGCACTTCTCGGGGGGCAGGGTGTGGATAGGAAACTTGCTTTATTGTATTTGTACATATTTTAAGGCACCTTGATATCCTGTGTGAGTGGGTGGCATATAAATATTTTTTATAAATCAGCAACGTCAGCACAGAGAAGCAACAAACAGCCAAGCCCAGCCACATTTTGCACGGAGAGGCTGGCACTCTGCACTGTTCTTTCTGCAAGAGGGGAGATTTACGGGTCTCCAGGTGCTTATGAAGCCAACCCTGGAGGGGGTGGGGGGAATCCCTCCGCACAAGAGAGACAATAACAGCCCTACTGCGCCAGGCCGCCTCCTCCTTTACATGCTCCAGCTTATCTGCATGCCCAGCGAGGCCTCTGCAATGGCAGGAAGGGATTGGCGCAGCGGAGTAAGTGGGGGCTGGAAGAGATAGGAGGAAGCTCCCATGGAGCCAGGCCAGACCCTACAGAAATGGGAACATCCCTAACCAGAGCTGAGCTCATTTGCTTTGCAAACTCTTTGAGCTGTGTGTGTGTGTTGTGCTTGCAGAAAAGAGAGAGCAAAGGAGGTCACTCACTTAGGTCAGCCAAATCTGCTTGGTCTCCAGAGACCGTTCTTGCTGGGAACGCAGAAGGATTCCTGGTGGCAGCAAAAGGCTCCCTTCTCCTCCCAGAAAAGGAAAGACAGGGGATCAACCCACTATTCATCTTTTAATAATACAGTGGTACCTCGGGTTAAGAACTTAATTCGTTCCAGAGGCCCGTTCTTAACCTGAAGCACCACTTTAGCTAATGGGGCCTCCTGCTGCTGCCGCACCGCCAGAGCACGATTTCAGTTCTCATCCTGAAGCAAAGTTCTTAACCCGAGGTAATATTTCTGGGTCAGCAGAGTCTGTAACCTGAAGCGTATGTAACCCAAAGCGTGTGTAACCTGAGGTACCACTGTAGTATCATCATCCTCGTTGGGTCATAAGTACAATTGGAAAGGTGGAGGTTCTCTGTTTTCCTTGGCAGCTTCCGGCAGCCGCCTTTGCCCACCTGACTCAATTCCACACAATGTGGAATGCGACATCTCTTTTGTTTTAAAAACCGGGCATTTCTATCTGTACCATTTTGTCTGTTTAACCCTTTGCCCCCTCAATATCCCCCAAATCCCGCCCCTGGCAGCCCTAGCTGCTAATTGGTGGGGTGTTGGGGGAGGAAGGGGCCCACAGTTACTTCTGGGAAAGATGAGAGACTTGGCCAGTCTTAAGAGGCAGAGATGGGAAGTGGGGGCAGGGGGGGGAGAGGGGGGAGCGGAGAGGGGATGGGAAAATGCCAGGAGCTCTGCACCCTCAGTTTCTTCCTATTTTAACAATTTTTCCAACAGGAAGACTGGGAATGTTGGAAACGGCTGAAAAACAACAGCTCCCTATAAAATATTCTGTTTTCGAAGGATTGACAATTCTTCTAAAGACAAGGTTCTGCTCAGTGACACACTGTAATGTGAAGTTTTCTTTCAGGCCAGACAAAATCTATAGCATTAGAGAAGGTTTTCCTTGAAGTTTCTACCCATTGGGCCTACTTGAGGCGGCTGAAAATGGGTGGCGGTGCAGGAGCAGAGCCAGTCCTAAGGGATAGCATAATCAGCTGGCAACTAGCAAAATCACTTTCGGCCTGCTATCTAATCCATCTTTCGAAACTGCTAAATGGTTCTGTCATAGCAGTTGCCTTGTGGCACTGAGTTCCACAGGCTCAAGAAAACTGCTGGCTGCCAACGTCTGGAGGGCACAAGATGGGGAAAGGCCACCCTAAGCGGAGAAGGCTTGTTCTTTTATATTTTCCTGCCCCAAAGTACTTTTACCTACCCCCTGGAATGTCTTCTCCCATTCTCAGATCTATCTGATAAGAAAAGCCCCACTTCTGCCAAAAGGAATCATTCGTATGCAGATCGCTTGGGGGCACAAACTTGGCTTATATGGCTCCTGCCCAAATCAAACCCTGTGCTGGCCTGAGAAGGCTCCTCTGGCTTCAGGGCCAGCCCCACCAAGCCACAGACTCAAGACGCAAAAATGCCACTGCTAGGAATTTATGTGGAAGGCTTCTGCCATTCCTCTCCAAAGCCCCAAGTGGGTTGCGAAGGTAGAGCTCTCCCTGGGGCCTGCTGGCTTCCACATTCCCCCCCCCCCGCAAACCACCCCCCCTCCCACCCACAACGGCCTTTGCACACACAAACTGGTCCCTGAGAGACAGCACTGCCTGAGAGGTTTTCTCTGCCCCAGAATAGGCCTTTTGCACTCCAGCTACCGACTTGCATCTCTTGACAGGAAATAATGCAATCAAGTCTGTTAGAAGTCAGGAACACACACACTGAGCAAACTGCTAATTAAAAATGGGGCTGGTAATTAGAAACATCCAACCAAATCCTTTAATTTATGCTTCAGAGAGTTCCTCGGGTCTCTTGTCTTCCCAAAGGGTCCTCACGGCCACATCAAGAGTAACCAGGATTATATCCGACTTAAGTGGACATCAGCGCAGGGGGTGGGCTGCAGGCCAGGTCCCCCCCCACCCGCCCCCATCATATCCAAGACAGACCAGGCTTTGCTGGGCATACAAAAGAAGTATTTGCTTATTCAGCCTGTGCTTCAAAGCCACTCCAAGCCTTTTTTCTGTTTTGCTGGGGGACATAAAGGATGCCCCAACCAGCTGGTTGCAGCCCCTAGCAGAAAACTCCTAGCCTGGAGAGAGCAGGGCAGGCGACAGCAGGAAAAGAGGCTTTGGTGAGAATGGAGAAGAGAGAAAAGGACCACAGTGTGAGGGTGGCAGCCCACAGAAAGCGCTAGTTGGGCAGCTGAACTGGGCACTCCACCAGCCTCATCTGCTTTCCAAGTACCAGGCCCCGATCCAACAGCCCTCCTGCCATTTTACCATTCAAGCCACGCAGGGGACAGACAGTGCCTCCAAGGAGGGCCCGGCTCACCCCATGTGCTCCAACATCACAGAAAAGGCCAGAAGACAGAGTTCATTAGCTCACAGAGCCCAGAGTCTTTTCACCAAATGCTGCCGCCCACTGAAGGCGAGATTTCCTGTCTTTTTTCTTCCTTGGCTGAACAGACAGACGTTAAATGACTGGGACAGCTCTGCTGGTAGAGCAGGAGACTTTTCATCTCAGGGTTCGAGCCCCACAATGGGCAAAAGATTCCTGCATTGCAGGGGGTGGGACTAGATGGGGTCCTTCCAACTCTATGGTCAGGAGGAGACACAAGTCATTTTGCAGTGACTTGGGATGGAGGCTCCTTTGCGCTGCTGGTGGGTCCATCTCTGCCCCAAGCCCGCCCATCCCACCCTCAGCTCCCCCATGAATGCCCCTCTGCCAGCCTCCCCACCCCCCAGCCTCACTCACCAGGCCTGAGGCTTCCTCTTCACAATGCCCTGGCGTCGCCACTGAGAGTGGGGGCTCAGGTGGTAAGTCAGCTGCCTGCAGAGCTTCTCCATGGTTCCCAGAGAGTCGCCTTCCTGCAAGAGGAATTGGGAAGGGGGTCAGTTGCACAGGCACCAGTCAGCACATACTCCCAGTGATTTCATACTCTTTATTGCAGCTGGTAAAACAGTGATTTCATTGCCCCCCAAACCTCAGGCCCTTATATACATTACTTACAAAGTGAGTCCCGCCTGATTTGCTGATTCTGCTTCCCTCCTGGAACCTGATTGGTCTTCTGCAGGCCAATCAGTTGTTGCAATCTACAATCCTACCAGCCTAATAGGCTGATTAACTTCCTCCTGGAGCCTGATTGGTCTTCTCCTGCAAGCCAATCAGTTGTTGCATTCTAGGATCCTACCTGCCTATTGTTCTAGGATCCAAGCTTAGTACATAAGAGCAGGCAGAACAGCCTCTGTGCCTCCTCCAGCTCCTGGGGTGGGGGGAGGCTTTGAAACTCCCACCCCATTCACCTTACCCAGGCCAGCTAGAAAACAAAATATCAGCAGGACATTTCTCCTTACGATGCAACATCACTGGGAGGTTCAGCTAAGCTAAGCCTGGTTGGGTGGCTGCCTCTCAGGGATCCTTCAGCTGAGATTCCCATATTGGAGGGGGCTGGGCTGGTTACCCTTGGAGTCCCTTCAAAGCCTATGGTTCCATTACTCAATAAGCTCTTTGCCATCCCATCTAGAGCATGAGGCATCCTAAGGCAACTTCAAATAGAGCATCTAATTAAAAAGGGCCCATGCATGCTTTTCCAGCTCAGTCCCACCACTCCAAACCTTATTGGAAGACCACCCTCCACCCCCGTCCCCCAAGCATTTGCTGGCTTAAGTAGGCAGGGCGGTTGATGCTGCCAGCTTCACATGGTCAGTTTGGCATCTTCATATGACAATGGCAGTAAAGGTAAAGGGACCCCTGACCATTAGGTCCAGTCATGGCCGACTCTGGGGTTGCGGCGCTCATCTCGCTTTATTGGCCGAGGGAGCCGGCGTACAGCTTCCGGGTCATGTGGCCAGCATGACTAAGCCGCTTCTGGCAAACCAGAGCAGCGCACGGAAACGCCGTTTACCTTCCTGCCGGGGCGGTACCTATTTATCTGCTTGCACTTTGACGTGCTTTCGAACTGCTAGATTGACAGGAGCAGGGACCGAGCAACGGGAGCTCACACCGTCGCAGGGATTCGAACCACCGACCTTCTGATCGGCAAGTCTTAGGCTCTGTGGCTTAACCCGCAGAGAAAGCCCCAAATCAGAACCATGGCAAAGGAGGAAGAGATGGCAGGTGGAGCCCCATCTGACTCCCAGGGCCGTAAAAGTATGTTTGTTTGAGTCAACTGAGGGTTCCCTGCTCAGCCTTCACCAAGCCAAACCAAGATGGATGAGCCTCAGTTCAGAAGATGATGTGGACAGGGAGCTCAGCAGATCCACCTGCCTCTGGCTGCAGGAGGCGACCCTCCTGCTGCACCGCAAACACTCACGGAAGACACCCTGGTCAGCATCCCTGAGAGCATCGCTCCCAACAGGACAAAGAAAGCACATGGGATGGAGTTGGGAACAGCCTGCTAAATGAGTAGAGCAGAGCCATGGCTTGGCCTATTCTGCTGGCAAAGGCAGCTCGCTGACCAGCCCAAAGCAAGCAGCCTGCTCTCACCCATCAAATTTACAGCTCCTTGAGCACCTGCTCTGGTTTTTGTCCCCTTGTCAGCCATGTGGGGCCAAACTCCACTGCTTCCCAAGGGCAAATGGGGGAGCGGAGCACACTTGTCTCCTTCTACATTCATTGAAAGGAGGGCAAAGAGGAAGCCAATGAGCTCTCAGCACCAGCACACATACTTGGAGATTGAAAGGTGGTTTATGACATGAAAACAATACAAACCTATGACAAAAGTGGTCATAAACAATAAAGGAAACATTTTTTAAAAATACAAAACCAAACCGAACAATTGCCACATACAGTGGTACCTCTAGTTATTAACTTAATTCGTTCCGGAGATCCGTTCTTAACCTGAAACTGTTCTTAACTAGAGGTGTGCTTTCGCTAATGGGGCCTCTTGCTGCCGCTGCACCGCTGGCACACGATTTCCGTTCTCATCTTGGGGCAAAGTTCTCAACTCGAGGTAACTCTTCCAGGTTAGCGGAGTTTGTAACCTGGAGTGTTTGTAACCTGAGGCGTTTGTAACTCAAGGTACCACTGTAAATCGCAACAAAATCTAAAATAAAGATGCGAGAAACCATCGGCAACAATCCCTCCTCTCCCATAAACAACACACATCCCAGGAAGAAACAGAGAGCTGACATTGGAAATAATCCATACGTGGTCTTTAACCACTCGCAGACTGGCTTATGCAGCTCCTTCTTCCTTGCCAAGATGCTGGAGTGGTTGCCAAGAAACTACTACACGTATATACATGTGTGGTGGTCCTGTGCCAAAGTACAGCTCTTCTGGAACTCAATTTTTCAAGAAATAGGTAAAATTGTTGACCGTGAGATCATTGCCTCCCTGCAGATAGCACTCCTAAATCTATTTGAAACTGGAAATGTCCCCACACACTGCAGAGAGATGGTGTTGCATTTATTATTGGCCACCAGGGCTATTCTTGCCAGGCACTGGAAAGACTTAAATGGGGCTGCCCTCTTAGCATAGTACGACAAAGTGGGCGAGATGGCGCTGTTGGAAAAACTTACTTGCAAATTAAAAGTAGCAAGAGGGCAAAATAAAACTAATGAATTCTCTGCAATATGGCATGCTTTTTTATTAAGCATGTAAAGGATGGTTTGCACAATTTGAACCTGCATCCAGCATTCAGAAGTCTATGGCTGCTTTAAGAAAATATAGGCCACAACTTTCCTTCTCCCTATATGCTCATGTTACTGTTAAGAAATGTACAAATAAGCTCCAAATTGATACCGATTCCCTCCCCATCCTGACCTTTCCGTTGCTTATTGCATAATTTTGTAATATATATCTTTTGAAATAAGTGCCTTTAATATTTTGCAAACTATATTTATGACTATTTTGAAACACTGGTTTTGTTTTTTTTAACGAAACAAAAAGCCACTTCCCTGTCCCCATCTTGCTCCGAGAGAATTAAGACATAGTGTCAGTCATGCATGAGTATGATCCAGGTCTCCGCTGCCGCCGCCCCTCCACTTCACAACAGAGCACCTTCCTCTGTGGGTGCCAGAACTAAAGACAGCTGGTCTGGTCTGGCTGGCTGCCATTCCTGGGGGCAGGAAAGGCAAACTGCCACCCCCGTTCCGCTGGTCTCGGGGATTCGCTCTAGGCTAGGCCATAAGGGCTCCCTATTCTCACAGGCTGCAGAGGACCGAGAGCTCCCTTTGCTGGTAGGGTTGTGTGTTGCGTTTGTGGGACTCTGCACAGAAGCAAAACTTGGAATCTCAGGAAGGATTCTCAGGTCAGCAGGCAGGGTTGGGTGGGGGTGGAGCTCCTAGCAGGGACTGGTGACTCAGCCAGGTGCCCTGTGCCCCCCCACCCCTCTCCACAACAGGAAAGCAACTAATTGCTCCATCCAAGCCAGCCCCCTGCTGAATTACTGCATGAATTCTTTATCAAGCCGCGTGAAATATTCATGGCGACCTATTTTACAAAGCAAGATATGGACCACGGAGGGCAGGTAGCAGCGCACTGTGGATCATTCCTCCTGCTTTGGAGGGGCTGGAGGAAGGAAGGAGAGCTTTGGGAGGTCTTGGCATGGGACGGGCAGGGCATTCCTTGAAGTGGGAATCTAACTGGTCCTATCAGTTAGGCAACTGCCCAGAGGCCATGTCACCATGTGCAAAAACAAGGCCATGTGCAGCAGCCCTGCTCCGTGGGTGGACACAGGCTGGATGGTGACATTTGGGAAGACTGTGGGCCTTTGTAGACAGGCAAAGAGAGAGAGAGAGAAATATATTTGTGCAGCAAAAGCAAAGACAGCAGATTGCTAACTGAAAGCAGGTTTTTGTTCTACCAGGAGAACAAACCTTTTATTCAAAGTCCTCCAGCATAAGGCGAAAGCACCTTTGCTCAGTTGTGTCACTCTGTGCCCTTGTGACTTCACAGCGGTGACGCTCCCAGCCCTTCCCAGAGGCCAAACATGCAGCACCTTCCCAGAGAAGACCAGAATGCCAAAGACTCCCATCGGGGGAAGCAGCAATCTGCTCCAGACTAATTCTGGGCTTGGCAACCGGCTGCAATCCGACTCGGAGAACCTGCGGGGAGAGACTCCGTGTTCCCTTCCCTGCAACATCCTTTTGGGGACACAGAGGATGTGCTGCCCCAGTTTGTCACCAGCAGATGCCGGGCTGCCATCACGTCCCACAGCAAGAGCACCGGCATGAACATCTTGCAGCCAAGGAGGCCGAAGGAGAGACGCTAAGCCAGAGAAGTGCTAACTGGCAATGCAGAGCTGAGAGATGATGCAGGGTGTGTGTTTGTGTGTGTGTGTGTGTGTGTGTGTGTGTGTGTGTGTTAGGAGCAGACGGAGAGGGTGCATAGCAAGCAGGTTTCTGGATTTGCTGTCCTGGAGACCAAACAGAGGGTCGCAGGAGAAGTACCAGCAGATGGGTGTTCTAAGAAGTGCTGGAGCTGCATTGGCCACAGCCCCAGTAAAAACCTGAGTGTCATTCTGTGCAACAAAAGAGAAGGAAAGAGCAACTGGAAGAATTTACAATGGCAATGGGAACCCAGGGACTGAGACTTCCTTTTTCTTGCTCACACATTTCCAGGCTTGCTTTAACCATCCTAACAGAGAGGCGCTTTGTTTAGAAAGGGGGAAAATGCCATATGAATAACATTCAGAAACGTGGTTGCTCCACCTGCCCCCCCTTGGCCACCACTACTGACCAGGCCCATCCCCAAAACCCAGGTGGGGGGGAAAGTAGGTGCCACCTAAGATGGCCGCCTCCTTGCACACATAGCTACACCCACGCCCAGCTCCATGAATCGATTCCAATAAAATGCCCAGCTCCAGCAAGCCTCTCTTCTGTAAACCTTGCCCCAGAGACCTCTGAAACCTCACTAACTCAGCCTGCAGGTTAAGGAGCCTTGCTCAGGGCAACTGCATTCACACAGGAGCCCAAATGCTGAAATGAAAAACAGAGTGTTCCTTTTCGCTCCTAGCGACTATCCAAATGCAGCTGGAGTAAACAACGCACCATACGCCATTTTATAAAAAACAAAAATACTGTCAACTTTAAGGAATTCTATTTGTTGCTTATTCAGTTGTCAACAAGCATGTTTTAATGACGACAGCGAGGGAGGAGCCTGTTTCAAGGAAATGAGGGTTTATTAGCGGTCAAAGCTGCATCATTTGGCTGCAGCCACCAATGTGCCCCTGCTTTCCAAACAGCACGCCCTCTGCCTGTATGCCTGTTCCCCCTGCAAGTCTTTCTTCCTCTGCTGCCGCCCATCTCCTTGATTAAGTCGTTCATCTCACCCACATTAAGTCTGTTCGACCCACTTGCTGCACAGCAGGGGGTTTTTTGGGTGGGGGAGAAGAAAAATATCCTGAGCCTTCACTCTGCATATCCCAGCCCCCCACTCTCAATTAAAGGGAAGATTCTCATCGCAGTTCCTCACCTGTAGAAAAACAAGATTTGCCTGAGGGGGAAAAGAATCAATACACTTCCTACCTGTTTAGTAACTCACATCCCTCAATTACATTATTAAATGAACTGAACTCAAACGGCAATTACTCTCGCAAAGCATCAATAAAACATTGCAGCACCAGTCGCTCAGAGCTGCCCATCGCCTCTTTCTGGAGAAGCACCACTTTCCAGGGATGGGATTGCTAGTCCAGGATCCCTTCTCGGATAGGAAGCATTGCCTTGGTTTAAACCCTGAAAACATTATTGTTGGGGGGTTTTTAAGGGTCGTGTAGACTGCATCAGCTTATCTGGAAGGCTGTGGGTGCCTGTATACCAAGGGCAGCGGCTGGTTGACCAAAGATTCACCCATAACCTTCAGAGGCTGGAGTCAGAGGGATCAACCCTTGGAAATTCCAGTCCATCTGCAGCAGCTTTCGCCAACCTGCACCTCCCATCTTCCCCAGCCAGCATGGCCAATGGTCAGGGATGGTGGAAGCTGGAGGCCAAGGCTGGGAAAGGCTGACCAATGGTCAGGGCCAAGACCTTTGGGGGGGGAAACCTGGAAATGGTATTAGCATGGGTGTTGGATGTGTGTCGGTCAGCGCTGAGTGGCTACAGTAACAAAGGGAGGTGTGGAAGTCTGTGGCTTATGGACAGGCAAGAAATGGAGGCATGTCTCCCCCAGGAGAGGAGCTGAGCCAAGAATGAGCCCAGCCCTGAGCAAGCAGGAAGAGTAAAGCCAAGGAGAAGAAAGTTGTAGACTCTTCCGAACTTCCCTCCCCCACATCAGAAGAGCAAAAAAGCATCTCTCCTCCCATCAGATGCAGCTGCAGAGAGTAACCCAGAAATCTCAAGAGACTGCCATCGTCAGCTGAAGACTTGTCTGTGAAAATCTCCCAGGAGAAATCTAATCCCATTATAGGGAGCGATAAGCAAAGGCTGCCTGGAGGGAGAGGAAGGCGAGACAAGGAGGAGGGGGCAGCCGGGAGGCAGGTGTGTCGTCACCTTGAGGAGTGCATGGGGGACATTGGGCCGAGTTCACGGAAATGAACGGACCTCACTTAGTCATGCTCCTTCGTTTCAGTAGGGCTAGACTGAGCAAAGCTTAGTGCAATACCACTAATGAAGTTTATCATGGCAGAAAATTGTCGGCTTCTGCTAATCATGTTAACATGCCGCACTCTGCTGCAGAAGAGACTTGGACTTTGAGGGATAGGGAGGGGTGTAGTTGGGTGTCAGTTCCCCAGCCCCAAACAGGCTGCCTCTTCTGCATGTTTCGCTCTTTTAAACGGTAACAAAATGTAGGAATGACTGCAAGAGAAGGAGAGGGGCCAGCAATGCCTGACTCTGGGCTGGGCATGTAACCCTCCCTCCCACCCCACCCCAGGCAACATGGCCAGACTTTGGAATATCAAAGTCCAGAGCTTATGAACACACCCACAACATGCCTCCTCTTGAGAAGAAGGAAGCAGCAGCTATAGCTCTCCCCCCCCCCCCGCCTGCCCCCAGCTTCTCACTCTTCCTTTCAACACAGCCCACAGCAAACCCCACCAAGCACTCACCGGTTTGGGGCAGTGGATGTACCTGGCCAGGCTGATGATCAGGTCATGGGTAATTGGATCAACCAGGTTCCTGAAGCTGGCGTAGCGATACAGGACGTCATCCAGCGAAGTTGACTCCATGCCCAGGTCCTGCAAAGGAGCAAAGCCAGTCAGGTGGGCGGGCACCTTGGAGTGCCCGTGCAAACCAGGCAAACTTCAGCAACTGGGCAATGCCAGCAGCCATTGCCCTGCAATCACACCCAGAGCCGATACCCAAACATTCAGGAAGGCTGCACTACAAGGCCACTACCCCACCATACCCCAATATTTGAGGATTTTAGGGTTGGGGCTGCCTTGACCTGAGAAGCTGCATAAGTCTGGACGGGCACCACTAAGTAGGTAAGAGGTGCCAACTGGATCAGGCCAAAGGCCTGTCTTCAGTGGCCACCCAGATGCCCCCAATGAAAAGGCTGCATTCTGGGCATGAGTGTAAGACAGGAGTCAGCAACCTTTTTCAGCCATGGGCTGGTCCCTCAGACCATGTGGTGGCCCAGACTATATATTTTTTTTGGGGGGGGTGAACGAATTCCTATGCCCCACAAATAACCCAGAGATGCATTTTAAATAAAAGCACACATTCTACTCATGTAAAAACACGCTGATTCCCGGACCGTCCGCAGGCCGGATTGAGAAAGCGATTGGGCCGCATCCGGCCCCCAGGCCTTAGGTTGCCTACCCCTGGTGTAAGAGCACCTCTGAAGTGGGAGAAGGAGCAGAGGTCATTTGACTCTCTTCCTCACACGCCAACTGTTTGCTGAGGCACCTGATGGGTCGAGTGGACTTGTAGGGCTGTGTGGGTCAAGGAGGGAAGGGTGAGTTTCCCTCCCACTCATCCACATTGCTCAACCAGCCAGGTGGGTCACATTGATGCCCCCATGGCCCTGGACCAACTTCTGCTCCCTCACTCCTTGGCAGCTCCACTTGCAAGAGGAGATTTGAACAGGCCCCTCTGAAAGGGAAAGGTCCCTAGGTGGGCAGAACCCCAGGCACAGGCAGCAATGGGGAGCAGCCCCACACAGATTCAGGCCAATTGCTCAACTGGATCTCCACTCTAACTTTTGAAAACAGGGGGAGGAAGGTGGGTGGCTGCTCCTTTCCACAGAAGGGGTCTTCGTGGGTAGGTGGGAGACAGCAATATGAAACCTTGTCAGTGCAATCCAAAAGGTTTCTTTCTGCCTGGGGTCCCTTATGCTGCTCTGGGGAACCTGCTGCTTCCCCAATTTTCATTCATTCCAAAGTGTGACCTGAGCAGTGGTTGGATGGAACAGGGTGACAGAAACTGAACTCCTGCCAGCCCTGTCAGCTGGAGAAGGAAGGTGAGCCATCAAGTCTGGCAAAGCCACCCATTGACACTTGAAAACCAGCCAGGGTCAAGTGGAGGTTGCTGGGGGAGCAATTGCATCACGTCTCTGCAAGCACTTCTGGATCCTGTAGGGGTTGTTCTGAAACAGAGCCCATAAAATTCTGCCCCTCTCCCATCTTGAAATGAGCATTCAGCGCACACACGCACAAGCCCCAAATTGCTGCAGCACAGTGATGCTTCCCCTCCCCACCCTATAGTTGAAACCTCCCCAAGTGAGAGCAGCATCCAAGCCAGATGAGCTCATCCCTGGCACAGTCTGTCACTGAGAGTCTGACTTGACTGGGCAAATTGCCTCCCAGCTGAGCACACTGGGCTATCTATCAACCAAGACGGCTGTTAACAAACCTCCCCAGTAAACAGGGGGAAGTAGGGGAGGAAGGAAGGTGGCTTAGGGCCTGTGCCAATGAGCTCCTGTTTTGAAAACTGAGGAGTGAAACCCCCTTCTGTGCAAGGACTTTCAGCAGCCCCCTTTTATTGCATTTCCTGCAAGGAATTTTGTGCAAATACCACCATGGCAAGAGCACCATGCACCTGCACAGCTTCTCTGTACATGAAGTAAACTCCACCTCGTGATTTGCAGAAATACCCACTCTGTGTGCAAGAGGAATACAGGGAGTTCCTGAGGCAGAGAGAGAGAGAGAGGGAGCTTGAAATGCAGAGGGGTCTCTTCCCACTCCTGAGATCATCAACTTGTTAAAGTGCTGCTGGAGGTGATCACATGCTTCCCCTTTTTTTTGCTCTTCAGCAAAAAGACTCAACAAGCCATTTCAAATAGCGTAAGAGAGAGACTAATGCCAGTCTGCTTGGTGTGTTGGGCCCTTTCGTGGGCTAGTCCACAGGTATCATCAGTCTACCACCCCACCACAGAATTTGTCACTGGAATGGGCTTCAGTGGCTGGGAAGCTGGGACCACTTCACCTGAACCACCTTCAGCTGCACAAGGCCACAGGGTCTTCAAGCAAGTCATTTGCAACCACAACAGAAAGTCATAACAAGAAGAGAGAGAAACGAGGACACTCTTGTTTCCAAAGCAGAGATGAAACGTGCAGCACACAGAGCATCTTTTGGGCAGAATATGCAAAGAAAGAGAAGGAACTGCCAGACATCAGTTGAGCAACAAGAAAGAGAAGGAACTGCCAGACATCAGTTGAGCAACGGCGACTGACCGTTTCTGTCAAATTTGGCAACAGCAAATAATGTAGCAACAGAGCTGGCACACTGCCTTTGTTCCACGAACAGGAAGCAAATCTTTAAGTGACCTGACAACTTGGATAAGGGCTCCAGAAACTTGGGTGTCTCTCCAAGTCAATGGACCTCGGCGGGGGGGACGGGGACACAGAGTGCAAGGCCTTCCCCATCCCCATCCAAAATAAAAATGGCCCTCAAGAAGGATAGATGACACCAAGTGAGCGCCAAGCCTTGCCAAAGCCATCACCCAGAAGAAAGCACTGTTGACTGATGCCAGTCTGGGCAGAATTTGGGAGAGGAGCATCTTACCCCAGTGAAAACAGAGCTGCAGGTAATTCTCTCGAGGCCAAACTGCAAGCCTTTCCAAAATAGTGTCAGCTTCTTCTGAGCTGTCACATCAAGGATCCCCACCCCCACCCCCCAAGAGATGAATGCCAACTGTCTGGGCATGTGACTCAAGTGGCCGTGAGTCCTTGGTGCCTCTGGGCCTGAACAGAGACGGAGCAAGAGCAGCAGGACTCAAAGATATGGATCCTAGGAGCTCTCCTGCTCAGAAGTCCCATAGGACAAGAAAGTCCTACCTTAAGAAACATTGGGCTCACTAAGAAACTGACCTGGACACTTTCCCCATTATCTCAGACATTAAAATAACCCTTGCCTGTCTCTCAAGGGATTCACATTTTAAGGGTCTGAGCACCTGACCTCGAAGGGAGGCGATCATGGTGGGACCATGGTTAAAGTTGGTGGCAGTCGTGGGGTCAGATGACCTTGATTCATGATGGGCAGGATTTTAAGGATTCCTGTTCTAGAGACTCTTTAGCTTGTGAAGACATCCTGGGAGCAGCACCCACTATTTGGGGAGCTAGAGGCAAGGAATTTACACTCCCTTTTAACAGCCCAGCCCTCCCGGTTCTCCACTTCTTCCACCTTTCCCCACGCCCAAATGACCACCAGTGGGGCTACCACAACCTGATTATAGGAAGGCTGTTATTTCACTCCATATTGTCCCCATAAACTTTTCCAATTGGCCTCCCACTTTTTCCCATTAACACACTCAGTATGCAAATACTGTATAGGGCTGCCATACAACTGGGATTTCCCAAACGTATACGGGATTTGCCCATTGAAAAGAGCATCCGGGCAAAATTTCTGAAAATTGGTAGAAAATGTCCAGGAAAACCTGGACATATAGCAACCCATGTCAGAAGTGCTGATTTTTTGGCGAATTTCCTTAAAAATAGCTCACAAACTTCAATTATGTGGCAACCCTAGGAATTATAACAGCTATCAAACTTCCTTCTGTCTCCCCAACTCCAGCCACCACTGAAACTCTATCCTTTTCTGTCTCTTAACTACTTTATAACAACAACAATAATAATTTATTATTTGTACCCTGCCCATCTGGCTGGGTTTCCCCAGCCACTCTGGGCGGCTTCCAACAAAGATGAAAAATACACTAAAATGTCACATATTAAAAACTTCCCTGAACAGGGCTGCCTTCAGATGTCTTCCGAATGTCAGGTAGTTGTTTATCACTTTACTTTACTTCCTCTTCCTCCTCCTCATAGTGTAGAAAGTCTCTTTCTCCAAATGGGCAGCTGCTGTTCCCACTATAAGTGCCAAACTCCCACCGTGATTCCTTTGCCTCCCCAACATTTCCCCGCTTTAACAGACTTCCCCACTCCTATACCCCCTTTTCCAAACTCCCGGCTGTTCACTGGGCCCATCCAACACAACTCAGGACTCAGGAAGGGGGAGCTAGTAGCTGCCTGCCGGTTCCCAGGCCCTGGGTCCCTTGCCCTCTGGCTCCTAGGGCAGCCCTTTCCTTGGACGATGAACCAGAGCATCTTGAACTCCTTTGGGGCTCCTTCCTCATTTGAGGCAGCAGCAACCTTCCAGTCCAGGGCTCCGAGGCAGCTGGAAACACTCACTGCCCGACCCCTCTTTTGCTTAAGGCACCCAAATCCCACCTGCCCCATGCTGAAAATTGCCCCCAGCAACAGCAGCTGCTGCCGCAGCAGCAGATAATTCTATTAAATGCTGCTACAGGAGGTCTCTCCAGGGGCTGCATGCCTGCTCCTTGTACCCATCCCCAACTGGGACTACTGGATCACAGGGTGCGGTAGGTGGGCCTGTCTCTCCCCCCCCCAAACTCAGCCTACAAATGACCCACGCATCACAGTCACTCGCTCATTGTCAGTGCCAACCCAGTTTAGAAATCTCTCCCTTTGGGTGAAGCTGGAGGGTAATGCAGAAAAAAGCTGCCACAAGAGTAGATTTGGGAGAGTGCCACAGTCACACTCGCAACCGGCACATGGTACAGCCCCCTCCTGGGTCCAGGTGGGGAGGTCAGAAAGAGATCTACAGTGGTACCTCAGGTTAAGAACTTAATTCGTTCCGCAGATCTGTTCTGAACCTGAAACTGTTCTTAACCTGAGGCACCACTTTCATAGAATCATAGAATCATAGAATCATAGAGTTGGAAGAGACCACAAGGGCCATCGAGTCCAACCCCCTGCCAAGCAGGAAACACCATCAG